AAATGAAGGGAGGTCAATCAGTGAGCAGAAGGGTGATATCATGCTCTCAAACATTCACATTCATATACAGATGGAGGGAGAATTTCACTTTGCAACTCACCACTAAAAACACTGCAGGAATTTCTACATATGAAGGAAGGCTGCAATGACAGTTAAGTGCAGAAAAACCACTGCTGGCACCAGTTGTAAAGTCCCACACAAAACAAAGTGGTCTCACATGGTTGAGGACTTGAGCTGCACTATCCGTTTTTTATTCCAACCACAAAATGGCTGCCAAGATGGCTGACATCCAGTCCATCAAACAATAATAACCAATCACAAGATTGGACAATAAATAGGTAACCAATAGAAAAGCTTGTAAAAGATAGAGTGCCATGTGCCATGTGTGCTGGGTTGAATAGCTAAGAGATAAGGAAGAGTGTGTATGTGTGTGGTGCTATAGCAGGTAATGTGCATGAGGATGAATGAATAGGGACAGAACAATAGAAGCCAAGAGCTAGCAGACAGGAGAGAATGAATGTAGGTCAGGAGTGCGCTAAAGCATATCGGAGTGGAAAACTAAATGTACAGTGTGAAATAAACAAGTAACCACTTTGATCAGTGAAATTAAAACCTTACACTACATTTCATCAACACATGTGCCCCCTTTCCTATCTGATAAGGGCTATTTAGAAAAATGAGGCCCTTCATAAATAAAAAGAGTCCCTTTTCATCTCTGGTAAATGACCATTTTCATATATGAGAAGTTAATTCTACTCACTTGACTTCAGTGCGCTCTTCACCTCCGATAATTGCCCCTATTCAAATATGAGAGATGCTCGTTTTACTTTGAAAAGTACCCCTTCCCCTCCTGATAAGTACTCTTTTCATCTATGATGGGTGCCCATTTTCACCTTTGCTAACTGCCCTTTTATTTTGAATCGTGCCCCTTTTCCTTTCTATTAAGGGACCTATCCCCTTTTCATAAATGCCCCTTTTCACCTCTGATAAATCAATTTCTGATGGATGCCCCTTTTCCGTCGACAAATGCCCATTTCCCATACTCATAAGTGCCCTATCTCATTTCTGGTGAGCGCCTCCTTTCAGGTGTAAGAAGTGCCCAGTTTAAACCTTTGATAATTACTCTTTGTACCTTGACACATGCTCCTTTTCTTTTCTAATAAGTGTCTTTATCCCTTTCGATATGTGTCCCCTTAACCTCTCATCATCAGGCACGTAGGCACGGGGGGGGGGGGGGCACGTGCCCCCTAACCTGCTCATCATTAGTCTTGCACTAATTTAAAGCGACTAAGAGTAATTTCCCCTAAAGCTCGCTCGCTCGCTCGCATTTATAGATGATACAATAATTATATGTCACTTTAAAACAAATGTTTTTTTCAGTCTTCCGTGATGCTTATAACCCCATCATGATTTGGTTTTTTCCTCTTTATAAGATGTAATTTTTCACTCTGCGACCTCACAGATCTTACATTTTTTTCTCGCTCGCCTTGCTCGCTCGCAAATGAATATTCAGACAATCACACTCAGCCGAAAGTGTGATGCTTAAGCAATAACTTGTATGATATATAAAGAAAAACAAATATTGAAATCGTCCCTGATAATGGGATCACAATGAAAGGGTATATACCAATGTCTAAAAAAATGTATATTTTCGCCTTGAGATTTCGCTTTGTAGGTGCCCTTTTTTGTTGGTGCTTTCCACTTTTGAAATAGCTCTGCCGCCCCTGCTTACGCATTAGCGCCAGCGTTAATTTCACGCTTGCGCGCACAGGGGGTGTCTGTGTGTGTGTGTGTGTGTGTGTGTGTGTGGGGGGGGGGGTTCCTCTCTAGCTCTGAAGCTGATTTTTTTTTTACCTAGATTCGTGCGATTCGGTTAATACTTTTAGAGGGAGTCTGAGGGGTGATGTGCCCCCCTCTAAAGCTGGCATTTTTTTGGATTTTTGAAACTGGATTCGTGCGTTTTGGTTAATACTTTTTTGGGGAGTCTGATTTGATTTCAAAACACCTGCAGTTAATGCGGGATAGCGTTGCAGCCTCTCTTTCCCCGAAAATTTAAAAATTACCAATATGCATTTGTTATATCTTATCTCGTATATTTTGGTGACAATTAACACTTTTCACAACATACATAAGCTCAAATTTCCGCTCACTCGCTTCGCTCACTCGCCAAATTATAAAACCAGGAAATAGATATTGGGGCAAGAGGCTTCAGCCCCCACTGATGGAAATGTCAAAAAAATTGCGCGCGAGCATAACTTGAAAACGGGGAATGTTGATATCGGACAAGAGATGTGACGTGAGCATGTCCCCTTTCCAAAATAATTGTGCCCGTTTGTAGGTACCAGTACACTATTAAAGTACAGTGCTTCTAATATCACCTTGTCAGTATTGGTAAGTTTAAATAACGGTCTGCGCGAATTTCGAATTTCCGCCCCCCCCCCCCCCCATTGGAAAATCCTGGATCCGCGCCTGGTATAGGCTAAATTTCACACATTTTGGGGTCTAAAAATTACCTTCTTGGCAATTTTAGGTTCTAAAAAGGCACTACAAATGTCATAGATAAGAATAAGAGCAATAACCATGCACTATGAAGGCATTTGCGGTCTGAAAACAGAACTCAACTATCCCTTTAAAAAGTGCAATCATGTACAGTAGATGCCCGGCACCCCCCCGCCCCCACCCAGTGTTATTTAGGGTACGCGTATGCTCGTTCCCTCCCTTTGAAAGCACCACCCCCCCTATCTCAGGACTGCCTGTATCTCCCTTTCGCCGGATTTTCCTGCCTTGGAGACCCCCCCCCCCAAACAAAACAAAACAAAAAACAAAAAAAATCCGGAACACTGCTAAATGTACCACCCACCCCCCCCCCCCCACATTTCAGGTGAGCTCTAGTCGATCGAGGGGGACTGGGGGCCAATGTTTTTACTTTTCAAAATGAAATAATCCTGAATGAGCTTTTAAAGCTAGCAGGAATTTCAGGAATTTGATCAATTTTTCTATGATATTCAAGATATTTTATAACCCCCTTTTTACATTTCTCAGGAGTCCAAAGAGAGAGAGAGAAAAAAAAAACACCCCTTTTTAAACAAATTAAGTGTCGAGAAAGGTACAACGAATCGTCTTCTTTCTCTAAAGATTTAATGAAACGTAAAAGCTTCCGCGCTTCGCGCGGGAGGGGGGAAGGGAAAAACTGAATTCAGATGAGGATTAACCCTAATAAGGCCGGGGGGCCATTATGCCCCCCCCCTCAACGATTTTCCGATTGCTCGGGAACGCATATGGATGGCGCCTCGCCGCTCGCTGACTTTTTTCTTTCGAGTCTTGCGCATCTTTCAAAAAAATAATTTGAAAATCGGACCAACAGTTACAAGGTCACGTGACCTTTTGTCTTTGCATGTCAGCCCGAAAATCGCTCATTTTTGTGATTTGTGTACAAAACATAAAACTTGGTTATTGGGTCTTGTTTAAAGTTTAGGTGGTTGTTTTTGGATTCGAAATAGTTGAATTGTAGTAAGAAATGAAATAAAACAACAAAAACAATGATACATAAGTTAAAAAAACAATGAAATACATAAGAAATTATAAAAACAAGAGATAACACAAGGAATAAGCTAGCTCTTCCGAATTTTTTTGTCGTATTTTATTCCAAATGGTCTAATAAAGATATGTAGTGAAAAAGAATGCTCAAATATGAATAATATATAATTTATGGGCAAAAATGTGAGTTATGACTTTATTTGCATAAATTGCCATAAATATACAAATAAGTGAATTTAAAAAAAAAATGAAATTATCATATTATTCTATACACGTTACTTGACAAGCGTGCAAATTTTCGCGGAGATCGGCAGTTTCACGGCCGAGATCTTAAGGGGGGGGGCATAATTCCGCCCCCCCCGGCCGTACTAAGACCTCAAATAGCCCGGCCTTTTTAGGGTTAAAAGTTGAGAACGGTACAACGAATCGTCTTCTTTCTCTAATGATTTAATGAAACGTAAAAGCTTCCGCGCTTCGCGCGGGAGGGGGGGGGGGGGGGGGGGGGAAGGGAAAAACTGAATTCAGATGAAGATTAAAAGTCGAGAACGGTACAACGAATCGTCTTCTTTCTCTAATGATTTAATGAAACGTAAAAGCTTCCGCGCTTTGCGCGGGAGGGGGATGGGGAGGGAAAAACTGAATTCAGATGAGGATTAAAAGTCGAAAACGGTACAACGAATCGTCTTCTTTCTCTAATGATTTAATGAAACGTAAAAGCTTAGGCGCTTTTCAATGTCTTGGGTGGTCTTGATCCTGGTCTTTTTTGACTCCCTTGTACTTAGAGCATGACTTATATAGACTTCTTGCTGTTTACAAGTTCCCAAAAGAGACTAGCTCGCTTTGTAGTGAGATCCTCCTTTAGCCAGATTTTCGGTCCATCAGCAATCTTCAGTCTCATCCTGGCTCTGTACACATCATTACGGACATATCTGCTAAATTTCACTATGATCGGTCTCGGTTTGTTCCTCCTCGTATAGTAGTACTCGCGCCCGTACTCGCGTAGGTTGGCGAAGTCGATGATTCACGTCCCTCATCAGCAGCGTGGCTCGGACGTGGAGAGATGCGGTGACTGCGATCTATCGAGTCCGGTTGAACTGTAAGGCCGAGCTTCGTATTGAACAGATGTAAAACGAGTTCATTTGTCTTCACGTCTGGTCCTTCGGGAATGCCATATATTCGCAAACAATTTCTCCTACTATATTGTTCTGCATCTTCTTTCTCATCCTGTAGCCCCGCCTGTACCACTTTTGTTTCCTTTTTCATTTCAGCTATTTTCTTTTTCATGGTTCCTACTTCATCTGCGTATTTCTTCAAATCCAAACTGACAGCTTGATACACTTTCTCCACAACTTGCTCCTCCAATTTAGCTGCTATTACGTTGTATACATCGTCCGCTATACGTTTGATCAGGTTCGATGATCGTAGTGAGAGGGCAATCTGCTTTTCAATAGCATCTTCAGTGTATTGTCTAGACTCGGGCCCCTTCCTTGATTTGCGCTTGACTGACCAGCAAGACTTTCGTCTTCATCAACACTGGAGTTAAGCTCGTCTGTCCCCGACTCTGCCGGCGTCGAAATTGCTTTACTCCGTTCATTTTCAGTCGGTTCCTTCCTTTTCCGACGATCAGTTTTTGGCCATCGCGTTTATCCGATTATCTCGTTATTAGCCCTGTGGCAGGATAAGAGATATATATGTATTGGTGTGTTTCTGTCGATGGGCTATCAGAACATAGGCTCCCGTTACGCAGCATATTCGTGGCGACTCTTCTCCAATTGCCTAGCTTTAGCGGTGTCTCACAACTCAGATTCTCGTTTACTCTACTCGGTCATATAGGGATGAGTTGCATTTGTGTGTCAGCTTCTCTCCGCTTTCTTAGCCAGTTGGTGTAAAGTCAGAATTTCATCCTTTTTTACCTGTTACTTTTGATATCAACATTCCTGCCTCTAAAACACCATTTTTGTGTTAAGAGTTTGCATTGAGAGATACATGGGGCTAACACATCGGTGATTTAGGTTTCTTGCAGAAGTTGTAATTAGCAAATGACTGTATGCTACTAGCTGAAACAAGATTATTTTTGTTACGCGACTCCATGAAATAGATTATCATCTTCCAATTTAAGTGATCGACACTAATCGAAGAAGGTAAATATATTCGAAATTTTTAACAAGCTGTAATATTCATTGATCATCAAAGGTGAGAACTACTCAATGTTAATGAACTCAAACATTGGTCATCCTCCTTGCTCATAATTTCATTACGATTTTGGATCTCGTGCATTTTTTGTTTTTGTTTTTTGCTGATGATGTTCGTTGATAATTAATCTACATATTATGAGTAAGAATTGGATCAAGGACGACTCATTTGTTATAAATGATGAAAAAATTGATCATCATCATTTATAACGAGCTGCATGACCACCTCGTGGACATAAATAAATAATAATAATAATAATAATAATAATAGCCTAATAGTCCACTCCAAATTTTATTAAACCGAAACGGAAATTCTTTTTGCCGAATTGATCGTGAGCCCGGCAGCCACTGAGCAGCGCCAGATCGACGTTGCTCTATCCCCTTATTGTTGAACGCCAAACAAGGTAGCAACAACTCCCATCTTTTAACGTCTTTTGGTATGACGCGGTCAGGATTCGAACCCACGACCTCCCGGTTGTGAGGCGGACGCTCTACTGACTGAGCCAACACTCCGGTACACAAAACAATGATTACAATCATAGTAATCCATTGTAATTAGTTACTACGTGAGGAAGGTCTACTACGTGAGGAAGGTCCAAATGCATTTCTTAATTGTTGAAATTGGCATTTGCTTTCCTAATTGATGAGCTACTTATATGCAATAATAAGGTAAATATATTGGACCGTTTCACATATCTAATTTTTACTTAGCCGAGAAGGTTTTTATGTTATTATTTTTGTTATATAAATAGTAGGATATTGCCCATTTTGTCGTAAAAAAACTATACTCCAGTTATTATTGTATATTCATTTATATATATATATATATATATATATATATATATATACACTTTCTGTTCTGCATGTTAATCAGTTAAAGTCAAATTGATTCACTTAAAAATGTATTCAGTTCAGTTCAGTTCATTTTATTCAAAACCACACAAAGCATGATATAATCTGTTACATAAAAAGAGACTGGGAATAGTACATCAATCAACATATTCTAATTTGATTACACCATAAACTGAATGGTTTGAGGACCCCTTTAGAAGCTAAGCTTGTGAGCGGGGCCCTATAGTCAACAGAATGCATACATTTACAGTAAAAAGAATGTTACGTATGATTATACAATGGATGAAAATACTAAGATACAGAATATAGAACATACAAATTTTCTCTCTCACACACACATACACACACACACACGCACACACGCACACGCGCGCCCATACACAGCAAACACACTGATGAGAAGGTCCTAGTGGTCAAAAAGCATTTCAGAATAAGAAATTACTAAGATGCAAATAAAAACTATGTCAGTCTTTCAAGTAGGTACGTTTTAGATAACCTTCTAAACCTAGAAAGAGTTGCACTATTTTTTTTTATATCATCAGTTAGACTGTTCCATTCTTTAATGCAAGAGATATGGAAAGAAGTCAGAGTGACATTTGTTCTTGCAAAAGGCTGATGAATAAGATACATTTGACGTGTATTATAATTATGAATTTGCGAATTCTGACGGAATAAATCTTTTAACGTACATTCATGAGGCATAGACTTAAGATTAAACATAAACAATATGCAATTGAACGACACAAGTCTACTTAGTGGTAACATTCTTAGTCGAAGGAACAATGGAGAACTTGGATGTCTATAATAAGAATTAGTAATAAGCCGTATTGCCTTCGTCTGCCATACACTCAACTTATCAAAATATGACTTAAAAGTGTTTCCCCAAGCAACATTACAATATGTCAAAAAAGGTAGAATAATACTATTATATAATGTTATCAGCACTCTTTCAGGTAAAATAAATTTTAATCTAAAAATGACACCTACACTTCGGGACAACTTTGTGCATACAGCATATAAATGATTTCTCCAAGATAAATGCTCATCCATGGTTAACCCTAAGAACTGAACATTTTCACTAAGCGCAACATCTTCAGTGTGTTCACCATTCCATCGGACTCTAGCTCTTTGGTTTACATAGAGAGGTTGGAATAATGTGACGAGGTGTTTTGGGAACCCCATATCTAAGAAGATGGAGAATAATTTGGTGTGGCTCGCAGAATCAAACGCCTTTGAATAGTCTATGAACATGATAAAAGCTTGTTGATCCATGGCAATCACCTTCTCATGTAGAGCTTGCAAACACATTAGCATATCTCTAGTCCCTCTTCCTTTTCTGTAGGCGGGTTGGTCTTCAGGTTGCTCTTGGCTGAGCATTTGTTTCATTCTATTTAAAATTATCACAAGTAAGATTTTCCTGGTGTGACTGATAAGGGCAATATTCCTGTAGTTTGAGCACAGTTTTTGATCCCAAGAGATACTGATTATTCTCTCTAATTTACTTTCAGATTCACAATATTATCTGAAACTTCTTTTCAGATTGTCTGTACATTAATTTCAGATTCACATTGTTTTCTCTAATTTATTGTAAGATACAGGGTATTCTTTCTAACTTATTTTCAGTTACGGAATGTTCTCTGTTACTTAATTTCAGATTCAAATTATTCTCTTTAAAGATACTATGTCCCCTTTGCAGCCAACATCAAATTCTGTAGAACTTTGCAGGAATTATGAATATGTCATGTATGTCCTATCTGTGAAATTTAAACGTTAGCAGTGTCCTAATATTCAAATTATGCAAAGAAACCCGTTTACTTGGTAGACTTCATTGTCAGACACTATTGAGTGAGTGACTGGCTTTATTTCTTCTTTGGTAATAACATACATAAAATGAGCTGTAAATGGTACATGAGCATTTGTCTACACTGTAACGCACTTCTTTAAATGACCAAATTAAACTGTCATTGATCGAATATTTGCGCAGCACAAAACGTACGACCATTCGGTACAATGGTCTGAAAATCAGACTATTACTTACTGTCTTGGTAGCACTTAAGTCGATTCGACAACTAATAATTATTATTTTCCCACGTAAAGACATTTTCAAGCTTCAACATTTTTCAAAGCTTTTCAAAATTTAGTATTATCTTTCAATGCCGTTGGAATTTAACCTTTTCATTTTTGGCCTGCAAATGGGACATAGTACCTTTAATGGAATATATTTTCTCTTACTTATTTTCAGATATACGGAATATTCCTATGCTCTTCAGTTTTCATCATTATGAAAGAGATGCACTTCAGAAAGAGAAGGATCATTTTATTCGTCCTTCTCTTAGCGGTCTCTATAGCTGTCACCACTCTATCATACACAACGCTGCGAATCTCCAATGAGGACGTGATTAAACACCATCAACCGATGAACCTACCTAGGTAGTAATAATAATAATAACGATGATCGTGATGATAATAATGATGATGATCATGATAATAATAATAATAATAATAATAATAATAATAGTAATAATAGTAATAATAATAATGATAATAACAATAATAATAATAATAATAATAATAATAATAATAATAATAATAATAATAATAATAATAATAATAATAATAATAATAATAATAATAATAATAATAATCATAACAATTGTCCATAAGGGGTAATTGTCTTCGGGGGGGGGGGGTAATTGTCTTAGAGGTTATTGTCCTAAGGGGTAATTGTCCTAGGTTTTTTTTAATTATCTTTGGGGTGTTTGTCCAGGGGGTAATCGTCCCGGAGGGGGAGTTAATTGTCCTAAGGGGGTATTTTTACAAGGGGGATCAGGGGCGGCGATTTCTTTTCATGTCCGGGGAGGGGGCGAAATGCGAGAGACGAGGGAGCATAGTGAACGAGAGGGGCGAAGTTGAATGAAGTGACTATCCCCTCACAAAAGAATACAGATTTTCTACAATATTTACTTGTACATTTTGAAGGATATTGTGCGGGAGAGCGTAGCGACTGAGCGAAAAGATTTTTGCATTTGAATTAGTCTAAACATCACACTCTTGGCCCCTACAGAGCCTTAAAGTGTGTTGCAGTCGGTAACGTAAGTATTTGCTATACCTCCTGTTCATCCAAGCGTGAACACATACCACACAAAAATGATACCGTTCATAGATAATTTTTAAAATAATTAGCAATTTTCTAGGTGTAAACTTTGTTTTGACTCACACTGTTTATGGCTCTCATTTTACAATTCTCTCTCTCTCTCTCTCTTAATATAAATTGTGGGGATACCGTAAATTTGTTTGTAAGTTCCGCTTTTTTATTATCCTGTTTTATTTTAGCCCAAACTCTCTATTATTATTATGTAACCAAGTTTTAGGGGCTTGCGCCGCCATACAACCGTTGCTTCTTTAGTATGCCCCTCAGTTGCATTGTATACATGCATTTAGGTCAAGAATGTACCGTTATCATTTTCTGTTCTGCCATATTTCTAATTTGTCTTTTATACAATCTTATTACATTGCTTCATGTCATTATTGCATTTATATGTACTTTTTACATGGTCATCGAAACGGAAGTAAATCAACCAAATCAAACTCCCTTAACCACTAGCTGCCTAAGGCCAAATAAATACAAAAAAAAAACATGTTTAGCGTCCTTCTTTAAAAAAAAAAAGGAAGCAGGAGGTCCTTTTTTTCTTTCTTTCAAAATGGCCGCTCGGTACATTTTTCCTGACAGTTAGGCTATTCTTCAAGAATGCCTCAGACTTTTTTAAATTTTTTTTTTTTTAAATCAGAAATAAATACATTTTAGTAGTGTTTTTCATGTTTTTTTCTTAAAAAAAAAAGAAGTAAAAATATTAAAAAATAAATAAAAAAATAGGAGGCGGCCCCAAAAAAAGAAGCGAGCGGGACGCTTAACATGTTTATTTTTTTAATAGCCTAATCAATGGCTATGTCCGAAACTAATGCTTTTCCACTTTCTCCCAATGCATGTTAGGGTTCGGTCATCAAGCTCACAGGTCACAGAATCTTCCTCTGCACTAATTCCTCACTGTGAGGCCCATAAACACGTGGCATATATCAAGACGCATAAGACTGGCTCTACCACGCTGGAAACCATTTTCAACCGGTTTGGTTTCATTTACAATTCCTCATTTATCTTCAATAGGAACGATTTCTTTGGACACTTCGAGTAAGTTGAAATCTCACGCGAATACTAGGGACTTTTAGATTTACACGACGAGAACGTGGACCGTCACGTGTGACATCCTTTTAAGGTAATGTGACGTCCTTTTAAGGCACTGTCGGGCACGGCCCAGTGCCTGAACTGAACACAATGTCACACGCGGCAGTCCACGCTCTCGTCGTGTAAATCTGAAAGTCCCTATTGACCCGGTTAAAAATATTGCCCAAATGGATCTCGATTCTGTGCTATTCCCCGGGGCGAAGTTACACATATACTTGTAGTAGTAATACAGTAATAACTAAAAGTTTACTTTTGCAGGAATCATACCGATATAACTAAAAGTGGACCATTGTAGGAGTAATATCGATATATCTAATAATATACTTTTGTTTGAATATTACCGACATAATTATAAAAAAATGACTTTTGTAGGAATGATACCGACACAACTAAAGCATACTTTTATAGGAATAATACCGACTTTTGTAGAAATAATACCGACCTAACTTCATGCAGTGTGCGCATTGTACTATATAGTTATCTGATATTAATTTTATGTGCATTTACTGCTTCCTTACCTTCCATTAGGAGCGTTTGACTAGTCAATATTATTTCACCATACTGCCCGGCAGTCCATGTTATTCTTTGTCATGCCAGTCATATTGAAAAAATCAAAGGCCTAGAATCTTCTTACAAACTATGCACCGTCTTGTATTAAACCCAACGCTGTGCTTAAATAAAGCTTTTGTTCAAACATCAAGTTTAGACAATGAATGTAGTCTGAGGTCTAAGTTATCATTTGTTAAACCTGCTCTTAGCCCCAGGGTTAAGTTTAACTGAATTTGTTGAATTTGGACTATAAGGCCATTACAAAAGACAAACATGTTTAGCGTCCTGACTTTTTTTTAAATAGGAAGGACGATCGAGGCCCTTTTTTTCTTTTCTTTTTAAATGGCCGCTCCGTACATTTTCCCAGATTGGCTGGACAGCCAGTCGGAGTATTTTTTAAGATGGCCGCCAGCATGTGTTGTTGTTTTGTTTTTAAATTCAGAAAAAGACCATTTTAGCAGCACGTTTTTCATGTTTTTTCAGTGAACAAAAAAAAAAATGAAAAAGAAATGTGAAGTTTTTTTTTTTTTTTTTTTAAATGCAGGCGGTCCCTAAAAAGGAAGCGGGCGGGGACGCTAAACATGAATACATTTTTTAATGGCCTTCTGTTCGTTGTAAAATGTTTTGGGTTTGGGTTTTGTTTGGGTGCTCCTTCGAGTGCCGCCCGGGGGACATCTTCCCCTACCCTCACTTAGATACGCCACTGTTTTTATTTAAAGCTAACGCCCTTCTGGCAATCAAAAGACGTTTCTTTTGTATTTCCCAATCTTGCAGAGCAATGGACTTCCGGGATGCTGCCACGGAGAAACATTTTCTACCACCCCTAGGAGTTGGCAAAGGAGATTACGCGAGATACAAGAACTACGATACGTGTGCGATTCACGTGCGGTTTTATCGCGACACATTTATTAAGTACATGGCCAACGATACCCTTTATGTTTCAAGTGTTCGCGATCCAGCCGACCAGTGGGAGTCGGCCTTTAATCAATTTGGATTCCGAAAAGCAATCTCACGACTTGCTGATGCTAATAAGAAGATGATTGCCATAGGCGACTACCTAAAAGTGCCCTTTAATGACGCAAATTCTACACTTGATGCAATTAACGAATTCCTCCGCAAACCCGAAGTATACCATAATGCATTAAATGGTGAGGACTGGCATTTTGCTCACAACGACCAGGTGTTCGATTTAGCCACCGATCTCGAAATGAAACAGCTTAAAAATGAAACGCTTGTTAATCGCACAATCGACCGACTAGTTGACGAGCTGGACATGGTAATCGTAAACGAGTACTTCGATGAATCCTTGCTTGTCATGAAGAAAGCCTTGTGCTGGGACTTTAACGATATCTTATACATTTCGCAGAACAAGCGAGCTGTAAAAGACACCATGCCGGAGGAAACACGCGCTAAAATCCGGGCATGGAACCACGCGGATACGTTACTTCACTATCGCTTCAATGAAACTCTGTGGAAAAAAATCAAAGCTTACGGACCGAAATTCCAAATAGACTTGGAGCATTTTAGACAAATGTTGAGTGATATCAAGTCAAAGTGTTCCGACATCAGCAAACCGGTGGATCATGGGTATAATTCTGTAGTTCTACAGACAAGAGCAAAGGCTAATTCTACCTCGTTGTGTAAGATGGTCGCAGGGGGTTTTGCGGATACATTCCGGAGAGTGTTTAACAGACAGAAAGACAGTGGTTTTGCCTTTTAGATTCATCGATGTTTACATCGTTAAAATCATTGAACTGATTTGGTGTTTAGTATATTGATTCAGGAGTGACATAAATATTGCTGTTATCATCGGTAAATTGTAGAGGTAACGATGTATTATAATCTTTGGAGGATATGTTAATAGATACGTCTAAAAGATAAGGGTATGGGGAATTTTTGATATTTTCTAGTTTTGGAAATATAACCACAATACCTTTATTCGATGTGATACGTTATGAGAGACTCCATCTCAGAAGGAGATAATGTTCGTACGTACAATGAACCGGGCAGACACTGCTAGTCTATGGGTCAGTACTTTGGTGTAATATGCATCGAAATATTATGCCGTTTAATCTGTTGGGATGTTACAATACCACGTCAAAATAATACTGTTGCTAATAATGTTTGATCGTTATACCAGGGATGGGTGTGAAATTGGTTTACAACTTATAATCATTAATTATATGTAGGTATAGGGAGTGACCGCATCATTGACATTGAGTACAGAGAAAGAAATGTCATGTTTAGATAACAACTTTTAACTATTTCGTCGAAAAGGGGGAAAGTTTTTTTCATAGGTTTAATTGTCTTATTAGCGGCTGAAGACATTTTGCTTTGGCCATCGCTATCATAATGTGTATTGATGGGTTTTATTATACAGGGTGAGTCAGAAAAGTTATGTTGTTTTTAAAGTTTGACTATTTAATCAGAGGTTTCATGATATGTCTTGATAAAGTTATCCTCCCAGTACATTTAGGTACCATTTTCATTTGAATCCTTCACGCATGACTGAACATCAGACAATCTTTACAAGACTGCCATATTTCACTTGCGCCAACTTACTGGGTGAGGAATGAAACACTGCATTGAACAAAGACAGTCAGACAGACACACAGACACACAGACACACACACACACAAACACACACACACACACGCACACCCACACACAAACACACACATTAATATGAAGTTAAAACCTACCATTTTCACAGAAATCATGGTAAAAACGTCTCGTCATAATCGTCTTCAAGGGTCTGGATTGTTTCCCGCTAGACTAGGCCACCATACACCTGTACCCTTTTAGTTCTAACTACGAAGTTGACCAGAGCCTGTTGGAGGTTAATGTCTGTGGATTTCAGGAGTATTGGGATAACTTTTTCGTTTTCTATGCCAGATTCTGTAATAAGCATGGCTGTTTCTATAAGAAAATGAGAGCACTTGCATAAAAATGTTTAACTGTTTCTTTTTCGTGCTCACAGTTTGAACAATGACCAGTCTCATGTTGATTCAACTCAAACAGATTTTCATTTAAACCTAAGTTCCCCATTCTTAAGCGATGGAGAATAGTTTCATTACTTCTGTTGTTCAAGTAACACACAAAAGTTTTTTGATACTAGAGTTTTCATTTCTCGTAGGGGGGGGGGGTGATGCTTCATTCCATCTTTTTTGCCATATCTCTAAGTCTATGTAGTATTTCTTTATAACATAGTTTGCTTCTGCTCTGGTAAGAGCATTGTTTTCTATATTTGTTTTTATTTAGTCCTGCTTTAGCAAACTTATCTGTTATCTCATTGTGTTGTAGACCAAAGTGACTGGGAATCCATTCGAAATTGACATGGGTGCCCTTGTATTTAGTTGACTACACAGGGTTAGCATTTCAAGAATGAAAGATTCGTCTTTACGAGATTCTATGGCCTGGAGTGAACTCAAAGAGTCGGAAAAGATAACTGCCCCGGTGTAGAGTCCTGGGAGTTGAAATAACCATGTTAGGGCAAGTACAATTGCGGCCATCTCTGCTCTATAAGGAGATGTGGAATTATAGCTAGTCTCTTAGATTGGGAAACATCATAATAAGGTACATGAAATGCAGCAGCAGCAGAGTCTTTATCCGGCGATCTTGATCCATCTGTATATATGTGTAAATAATTTCGAATTCCATTCTATTTCGAATTTATCAATTCTAGGGCTGCTTGTTTTGGGACAAAACAGATATCTGTTTTCGTTATAACCTCTTTTAGCTCAGATGACACATGGGGACAGAGCATTTGCCAAAAGGGTGTGTTGAAATAATAGTTCATTGGATCTTCTAGTATGTAACTGAATTTTAATGTAGAATCCTAGGTTCTACGTCGAAAGGTTAATCTAGAGTGAGTACCTCCAAGAATATTAGATTATCAACAATCTTTCACATCTTCGTTCAGAGGGTGTTTGCGCATACTCTCGTTTCGTTTTCTTAGTTTAATTGATAACATTTATCGCCTTATAAAATCAAAAGGCATTTCGCCTAGTTCGACTTGCAGCGTTTAAGGGATGTACCTTTCCGAGCGCCTGCAAAAACAAATAACGATTGGAACTGAACTGAGTGCAACATATTTTTTGCGCTTGTCGTAGCCGAGTTGTATGCTTCGCAACCATAGTCGATAATTGATAGTAATAATGCTTTATATTATCATCACTAGTTCTTTAGCATCTCCTGACCACTTGGCGTGTGCTAGACTTTTGATAACATTAATTCTACCTTTACATCTTTTACTAATATCTAATAAACGAGGCCTCCAAGTCATCTGTTTGTCAAATGTGACGCCGAGATACTTGTGCTCTTTACGTGGTGTCAACTTTTGACATCTTATATATAAATCGTAGTTATCATCATTTGTATTGTTCGAAAATAAGATAGAGGTCGTTTTCTCTACCGACATAATGAGTCCAAATGGATTGAGCCATGAGTTCAAAGAGTCTAGATAATTTTGTATGTTCTGGATATTTTGTTTTACATCATGGCCTGATTTCCAAATAACGATGTCGTCTGCATAAATCAAGCTGTGTATATCTGGTCTTAAAGATATGTCACTTATCATTATATTAAAAAGGAGGGAGCTCAAAATGCTACCCTGGGGTAAACCGTTTTCAGGATGCGTAATTTCCGATTTGGCATTACCTATTTGTACTTGAAAGGTACGGTTAAACAAATAGTTTCTCAAAAATGTCAATATTTCATTGGAGACCGATTCTATGTAACTTGACGATTAATCCTTTCGTCCAGGGAGTATCATAGGCTTTGGCCAGATCAATAAATACGACTATGGTTTTCATACCCACAAAAAGATATTTCTGAATTTCATTTTCTAAATGTACTAAGTTATCTACTGAGCTTCTCTTTTTTTCTAAAACCATGTTGTATACTTCTCGAAATTTCGTTTTTCTCTACGAACCATTCCCTCCTTTACCATACCTTCAAACATCTTGATAAAGCAAGGTAATAATGAGATAGGTCGCTAGGATGTTAGTTGGGAGGAGTCCTTTTTTGGTTTTAAGATGGGTATCAACATTGCGTGTTTGCATTGTTCCGGAATCGTCCCAGAAGAGCTTATGCTATTGTAAAGACAGAGTAATGTTTTCCTAGCCCTGGCTGGAAGGTTTTGAAATACAGTATATATCAAGCCATCTTCACCAGGCGCTGATGTCTTTTTTTATGTTAAGAACTTTTTCGAGTTCCATCATAGTAAAAGGTTCATTGATAACTATATCATGTTCTCCTTTATAATCAATAAATTAATATTTATCTCGTAGTTCTTTATTTCCCTTTTTTTGTTTTACAACTGGGGCCCGTTCCTTGACTACATCAGCGTTAGTGAGCTAGTTGTCCGCTACGTGTTTCACGAAGCCCTCTTTGCCAATATCAACGACAACATCCTGACTAAGGAGTTATGACGCCTCCGACACTGTCATATCTCTGTCATAACTTTTTAGTCGATGGGCAGCGCCATCACATGTCATTTATTGGGTAGACTATGGCTGGCAAAAAGGACAAGAAATCCTCCAGCTATGATCTTGCTACACATTCACTTAAAAAAGGGAGTTATCGTTTTTCATATTTGAAATCTTTTGAAAATGTGCCATGTTTATATTTAAGGATTTTTCCATTTAACTAAACTGATAATACGTGTTTATATCCACATTGTAAAGTCCTCGAAGGGATGGGTAATCTACCACGACAGGCAAGCCATAGTTAGAAGTGTATTCTCTAGTTTTCAGACCCATATTAATTTCGAGATAAATTCTACCTTCAAATGTGTAAACCGAATGGTTTAAACTTTAAACATATGTTTTAACGTTTGGAATGTTGAAGGTTTATAATTTTTATACTGTGCTGACACCTAAAACATTAGACACAAATTTCATTACATCATATTTTTTTAAGAATAATATATTGGTGTATTTTTATAAACTATTTAATGAAAAAACTGATTCACCGGTCATGTAATGAAATACTCACAATTATATTTTACAATTACTTCTATTGTATAATCTACACGAATTTGGAAGTATTTTGCATCTCTTATTTCCTGGTATCATTTTCAATCTTTTTTTATTACTAATTCATTTAAATAATTGCATTTTTCCTAATTTAATAATCTGGTGGTATTGCGACTAAGCTATGGCTTGGCTCTTTTTACTCGCCGATAGTATCGATTTCACGAGATACTAGCTAGTAAGCTCTTCGTGAAACAGTTTAGGAAGATCAAAGACAGTTATGACTGTCTTGTCGTTGGTTTCTAGGAACGAGCCCCTGGTCTTCAGAAAATGCTTTCCAAATTCGTTAGCTTTTTCTTGATCATCTATAATTACTTTAGAATCTACTTTTAATTCTGATATCTTAGAATGAGTTTTTTGGGGATTACCCTTCAGACAACGAATCAAATTCCATAGTTCTGAGATTGAGGTGAACCTGTTCAGTTTTGAAGTGTAATCCAGCCAACAACTTCTTTTTGAATGTCTAAAGATCCTTTGGGCTTCTGCCTTCTTTTCTTTGTATAATTTTAGATTTTCATCGTTTTGGATTCATTCCGTTTCTTAATCTTTATTTTGCATTTTTCTGTCCACCATGGGACGGGGATGAATCTCGCATTATATTTCTAAATTTCTTTAGGGTACAGTGTGTAATTCATTTAAAATAATATATAGAGATTCCATAAAGTTTCCGTAAAAGGTTTTGACATCTGCGTCTTGCAGTGAGTTTGTGTCCATTCGTTGATCGCATAATTTATTGAAAGCGTGCCAATCTACCGTCTTGAATGACCGTTTTAGAGTAAAGTCATCTTTCGTACAATCTGATTTAGGATTTTATCTTTCGATTTCAATATATATTGGAAAATGATCACTTCCTAATTTATTTGATAGCACTTTCAAACTTATTGAGCTGGCTAAAGCGGGAGTTGCTAAAGATAAATCTAAACAAGACGTTTAGCCAATAATTGGGTTTAGATCTACTTTAATTTGTTAACTTATTTATGGTGCAGAATTATGTGTAAAATGAGCCCAAAATGTTCGCTTACCTTTAGCAAGTCCTTTCCTATCCAAAACTAGAGTCGAAAGTACGGAAAGTCCCGTGAAATCATATAAATATCCACAGTTTAGCAACAAGTAACAGACAGACAGCCACGTGCACCGACCTAGCAGCAGCTCAAACGATTAGGGGATATTGCAAAATAGTCTCCACCAAGGTGCTAGTACATAAATATTTAATATTTAATTATTAATTTAAGTATAGTTTCTTTTGAAGTTGCGGGGTAGAATTTGTTTTCATGGCGGCATTTGGAGATGAGTTCTGGTCTTTTGTTCAGAAGTGTCTGTTTCTCGGCGTTGATGATGGCAAGTTTCTCGGTTAGGCACAGGTTGCATTTCTTGTTTCGCTGGAGTACGCTTGGGCTTGCTGGAGATCGACCGATCGATGGTGAATGGGATGCTTTGCTGTTTGAGTTGCCAAATGTGTTTGAAGAGTTCTGTGCTGTTTTTGTTCTTCTCATGTCGGAAGGACTGTAGGTGATTGCCGTACCTCATCTTAAACGCATTTTTCCCGATCCACTAAAAGTTGCAAAAATATTTCCGATATATAAAAAGGATGATCACTCTAAAATTTCAAACTACCGACCAATTTCTTTACTACCAAGCATTTCAAAGATATTAGAGAAAATAATATATAAACGATTATATTCTTTCTTAGATATCAATAACTTACTAATTCCTAATCAATATGGATTTAGAAAGAACCACTCTACTGATTATGCTATTCTACAATTATGTGACAAAATAACTGATTCCCTTTCTAAAAAAAGTACACACTGAAGGTGGTTTTATGGACTTATCGAAAGCATGCGATACCATGGACCATTGTATATTAATACATAAATTAAAAGCATATGGAGTTAGAGGGATTGTACTTTCTTGGTTTGAAGACTATTTGCGTAATAGACATCAATATGTTATTTTCAAATCTACATCTACTATTTCCACCATAGAATGCGGAGTACCACCAGGCTCCATATTAGGTCCTCTACTGTTTTTATATATGAATGATATTGTTAATGCAACACCACTCCTAACATATGTGCTGTTCGCAGACGATACGAACGTATTTTATTCGCATAAAGACTTAAGAGAGGACCTAAAGCCGTCGGCCGTCTGGTCGCTTACTTACAAGCATTTATGCTTTATTAGCAGTAAGGTAAAATAACCACCATCACAACAACAACAGCATTCTTATTACAACCCTCAATTTAGAATCAAATAAATTATCATATTGGTTCAAATCCAATAAACTCTCTTTAAATATTAATAAGACTAATTGTATTTATTTCAAAGACATACACTCTAAACATGTACTTCATTATGATATTTTTATAGATGACATGCCCATAATTGAAAAAGAAGTTACAAAATTCTTAGATGTAATGATTGATTCAAATCTAACTTGGAATAGTCACATTAAAAACATTAGCATGCTATTCTCGAGAAGCATAGGCTTTTTATATAAATTAAAATATTATCTATCACAAAAGTCACTATTTATGCTTTACAATTCCTTCATTTTGTCATACATAAGTTGAAAAAAAAAATTGTTTTATTTTGTACTTTTATCGTTGTTGCAGGTATACTAAGTGCTTGTCTCCTACCCCTAGGAGGCTGTTTAAAATGTACCTATTTTAATCTTTTTACCATGCTTGTATTGAATTTTATAGGACATTTGTAAACAATTACAGCTGTATTTCTGGAAACTTGTGCAATTTTTTTATGGATTTTAGTTACAGAATCTAAGTCTTATTTTTGATATTGCTAGTTTTTTACATGTATATATTTAAAAGTGTTATCTATTGTGCCGAGCATGTAAACATGAATATTCCAGCCAAGGCTGTCCTTCATGTAAAATTGTATTTGTATGAACCATCATTCCATGTTTCTGCTATAATAAAAACCCATTTTTGAATTTGAATTGAATTGAATACATATCTTATTGTAACATAGTGTGGGGGTAACAGTATTAAGATGAAAATTATGTTAATATATCGTCTCCAAAAGAAAGCACTTCGTCTTTGTACACATTCAAATTATTTAGCCCATACTGATCCAATATTTTGTAAACTAAAAACTTTAAAAATCGCTGACATTCACAGTTTTCAAACTGTTATCTTCATGTATAAATTTTGGGTAAATACTATACCTTTGGCATTTCGAAATATTTTTGTTTACAATAGTAATATACATTCTTATCCCACACGACACTCATCCGATTTCCACCTAACCAACCCCAAAATTATTATGGCCTATAAATCGATAAGACATCATGGTCCAGATATTTGGAATGCTTTACCGGACAATATTAAACACTCTGCAACTCTTTATTCATTCAAAGCATCGATGAAAAAAAAATGTAATATCTAAATATTCAAAAACATTATAAGGGTCTCAGAGTTTTTGATTGTTTGTTTATATAAATTAATTTTAGATGACCAGTTCATTAACAATACGAATCAAAAACTTACTTCACCTGCACACACACCCACTTGCACACACTTGCATTTTTCTTTCTTTAATTTAATTCCACTTTTTATTCAGATACTTTCTGAACAAAATCTTTATACGTGACACTCTATTCCCCTACGCACTCCTATAACAGCGCCATGTCCCACACGACACTCATCCGATTTCCACCTAACCAACCCCAACATTATTATGGCCTATAAATCGATAAGACATCATGGTCCAGATATTTGGAATGCTTTACCGGACAATATTAAACACTCTGCAACTCTTTATTCATTCAAAGCATCGATGAAAAAAAAATGTAATATCTAAATATTCAAAAACATTATAAGGGTCTCAGAGGTTTTGATTGTTTGTTTATATAAATTAATTTTAGATGACCAGTTCATTAACAATACGAATCAAAAACTTACTTCACCTGCACACACACCCACTTGCACACACTTGCATTTTTCTTTCTTTAATTTAATTCCACTTTTTATTCAGATACTTTCTGAACAAAATCTTTATACGTGACACTCTATTCCCCTACGCACTCCTATAACAGCGCCATGTACCCTCCCCTTCCTTCCCGGCTGCTATCGACTCAAGCATTCTTGCTTATGATAGTTGGCCTCTGCATTTATCTTGATTATTTTTAACCTACCTCCATATTTTCAAGCTTTCAATTATGCATTTTTATTTATGTGTATTAGGTTGTCACTCTTTATGTAAATCAATTATATTATGTACTATTATTGTTATTTGAATGTTTTATATTTGATTTATCAATAAATGCAGAAACATCTGCTAAAAAAACAAAAATACAATATAATCATGGTGATTACAAAATTGGAATAACAAAACTATGCAAATACGAATTTTTGTAGCAATATTCTGAATGCAAAAAATGGCGGCCAGGGAAGAAGAGAGCAAACTTAATCACTGTTAATCACTTAGTCTCTTGTTCTCGTTCTGGCCTCCGCAGAGTATGGGTTTTCTATGCTGGGTGCTCATAGAGAGGTAGCTCATTGGTATAATTTCCATCTCTTCATGCATGGAACTTAACGGCTTAGTTCTTTATCTCCGCCACATCCTTCTCATGTGTGGCTAAAAGAAAGGCGACATCGTCTTCCAGATCAACAAAGTATTCAACGTCGTCACCTACTTCGTGCTCCGCCTGGTTATTTTCACTTACGTCACGTGGTGGTTGTGCGGACATTGGACGGAGGTTGGCTCGCTTCTTCCCCCCATGGCTGCTACATTGCTTATATTGAACATTCTTTTGTTTTATCGGCTGATCAAGAGTGATTATTTTAGGAGATCTCTTACTCGAAAGACGGAGGAAATTTATATTAAGTCCGGAGACGAATGACTCCGCGATGGTCGCATATCCACATTCATCTCACTTTATCCTATTTAGACATCGATCAACTTTCTCCCCCAACTCTCTCTATCTCTCTCCTTCTCTTTCCCCATCCTTTTTCCTTACACTCTCCCACTTTCCCCTCTATCCCGTACTTTTCTTCTTTTATGTCTTCACTCTCTCATCCTCTCTTTCCTTTATTCGCTGTGTACCAACTATATATCGCTCATTCTACACCTCTCTATTTTCTTTATTTAAAGATGGCATTAAAAGTGATTTAAATATTTTCTTCAAGAATATTATCCATTGTAGTAGTAGTAGTAGCAGAAGTAGCATTAGTAGTAGTATTAGTAATATAGTAGTAGTAGTAGTAGTAGTAGTAGTAGTAGTAGTGGTGGTGGTGGTAGAAGTAGTATCGCTATCATCATCATCATCATCATCATCACATTGCCATTAGGGTAATAAAGCAAGTCAAAAGGTATGTCCCATATGCTCCCAAATACCATTGAATGGTATTATGTATTTTACATAAAATGTATCATTTTATTTGATATTTTGTCTGATTTAAGCTCTTGGAGAACTACCTGCTTGATACCCTCATCAATATACAGTAATCTTAGATGTGGTCTGTAACGTAATAGCTTGGTCTTGCCCCAAAATACTATCATTGTTATTATCATTACTGTTATTATCATTATTGTTATTATCGTGATCATTAATGTTATTATTATGATCATTATTGTTATTATCATGATTATTATTGTTATTATCTACGTCATCCTCAATGTCACTGGTGTTACTATTGTGTTACAGAAGACTCACATCTTGCTGAATTCACATTTTTATGCATATTATTTGCATTGTGTCTCAAACTCGTGCTAGTATTTGTTATCGCATAAAGCGTCGGAAACGGCTTGAAAGATAATAGATCATTGAGGTGCTCCCATCCGAGGGATTTTTTTTTTCTTCTTCAAAGTTCATATTTAATTGTGTGTCTGTTCATTATTAAATAATGATAACTGCGTTATACAAGCTCATACATTGACGAACATTGTTTTGTTGTTCTGTTTAATCATACAAGTTATGTTAAGCTGATACTTAACAGTTGCATATCCAACATAGCTAGATACTAGATAGAGAGAGAAAGAGACAGAGAGACAGAGAGAGAGAGAGAGAGAAAGAAAGGGATGGGTGGTTGCGGTGGGCTATACAGATAGTAAAACAGTGAGAAGGATATAAAAGTAAGGACTAAAATGACCAATAAGTGCTATTTCCTCAGTCACTTTATTTTAGTTGCAGTGTGCAAATGTTTCGTTGCCTCTTCGAACATTGATATTCTGACATGAATCTTACCAAATTTGAGCATATCACAACAGCGAGCAAATTATTTGGCACTTTATTTAGTAACATCCACTGTTGGTAGGCATGCGTATAAATTTATCTGTAGCTTATTTTGTTAATACAGTGTAATATACACAATTAGAAATGAAAAATACAAAGAGACTACGGTGCTGCCAGAAGACTTTTAGTATATATTTAATTATATTCTGTTATGTGCCCCTCTTTTTTGTATGTTTACAACAATTATCTGACAAAAACTCGTTGCAAAATTTATACATGAAAAAAAGACAAAGTGGGCCATGACAAAATATTTTCGAGTATTCAAGGAATAAATTCAGATTATATCTAACAGGAGGGTTGGAAAAATACACAGCGTTTGATAGTATCCTTAGAAAATACCCAGTAACACAATGTACAAAAGAAGAACCACAAGAAGGGTAATAAGAAGATAATGTGTAAATAGTAATCAACTACCGCAAATAAGATGAACGTGGTAGAGGTTTTTCAATTTAGTAGGTGACAGTTGCCCGAAAATTCGTCGTTTAAAGGTATAGACCAGTTTTGGAAACGCTCTCCTCTAAAAAACATGAAATGGAAGCTCTTATTACCAATTATGTGAAAGAATATGTTTCGACTAATACGTGATGATACAAATTTTGCCGGGAAACCGCCTATAGTAATTTATATATCCGGCCTGGATAGGTATTGTGAATGCACTTCAACATTGAACATTTGGGCATATATTTATGCTTTTTTGCGAATATAGCTTGAAGTATTACCATCTAAACCTCTAAAGGCAATATTTAAACGAATATGGAATGGATATTTTGCACCCTAAACCCTTGAACCACAAGTTTACCACTACCGGTCTATATCTTTAACATTTATCCGGGAATGCAGCCCTCCTCCTTGTCACCTTGGTCTGCGCTCAAAAATATACCAAATGTGTTTTCGGCTCGGATGCCATTCGAGCCAGCGGATTATACAACACCGTGGACCTAGTCACACTCGGCCTCGTGTGGTAGAGAGCAGACCCGATTGCCGTCATCGCTCCGGGCCCGTGGTTGTAGTCACCCACTGGGTCGATATCGGCAACCCTCATCTGAGGAGGCAACCCGTTGTCAATGGCAGGCGGACCGGAACCGTACCCGTACCTCGTCGCCCTGTTATGGCTTTCGCTTCGATAACTCGGTGGTGGAATCGACGTCGCTCGATGGTCATAGGCGTAGTCGTAGCCGACAAGGCCTGGTGGTAGAAGGCCTGGATGGGTTTCGTGCCGAGCTGGTAGGTGAGCACGGGGAAGGAACTCAGAAGGTAGCATTCGATGACGCCTTCATGGAGAGAATCACGAGACGAAATTTTTTATTTCATTTTTTCGAGATGATAATGAAATCTTTATTTTTTATTATTCGGTGTGAAATCTATTCTTATATATACGCCTGTATAAAAAATAATAAAAAAAATAAAAAAATTAAACTGTTTGTTATGTAAAATGTGGAATAAATAAACTTCAAACTTCAAACTTCAAACATGAACCTATAATTCTAATATTTTTTCATAAAGTAATCACATGTCATACTTTATAGTTAGGATTGATGACTTCTGTTTTTCTCAATCAGGAAATCGTTAACCGGAAATTTGATTTATCCGATACTGATTCTAGTTCCATAATTCAATGGTTTGAAAAGAGGCATGGCGACAGAGGGCGGTGAGACACACCGTATACAATTCTCTTGAAATGTTATTGTTGGATTTTTTTGCGTGTGGGATGTCTGTCAACAACGTTTTGTACAGGAAAATGAAAAGTCGACCCATGTTGAATCCCGTCGGTAAATATAAAAATCTTGGTACTTCGTGTTTGCTCGTTGAAAAAAGAGGATAATATGCCGACAAATTGCCCATACGATCAAAGAAGCAATCATACTCAGTATCCCTTTTGTGTATTACTACGTGGTTTATGAAACGGTTCATACCTATACACAGGCGCGTACACAGGGGGGGGGGGGTTAAACCCCTCCCCTTTGGAATTTTTATGTGTGTAAACTCCCCCATCAAACCCCCCCCCCCCTTTGGATTTAAAAAAAAAAAATTTTGTTGTTGTAATTATTTAAAAAAAAAAAAAAAAAAAAAAATATGTATTCCCATGGCTGACCTAAAAAGGTGACCTTACCCCCCCCCAACGGAGCCAAATGTCAAACTTTCAAATTTCAAAACCAAAAAAAAAAAAAGAAGTGTCCTCTAATCCTCCCCCCCCCCCCCCCGCTTAGTCAGCGGTCGGCTGAGTCGTTGCGAAATTTTCGGCCCGATTTATAAATGTTAACCCCCCCCCCCCCTTAAAAAAATCCTGCGTACGCGCCTGCCTATACAAATAAGTATATCCCAAGTCCCTGTATATCCTATGCCGGCTACCTTATTCAACGAAAATATAAAACTAAGAATCATTTACCTCATTGCTGCAAGCTTGTGCTTCGAACGACTTTCTTTCATGGCGACCCGGAAGTAAGACACAGACAGGATGAGCACTGCAATGAAAGTCACCACCACCAATACCCCGACAGCTATGCTCCATGATCTATATACATTCTCGCCATCTGTACCCCAAAAATATAAACAAATTGATACATGGTGGTTTGAATTTGAATGCTTTTAGTAAACTTCATTCATATACATGAACATTTTGTTTCACAATACATATATAAAACAATTATATAAACAAGAAAATCAATAAGTGGTACAGTTTCTCGAGTAATCACAAATTAACAATAAACATTGTAGTTTGTATAAACAGTGGTAAATGATATTATAACAAATAATTATATGACACCTTTCAGCCTATGTTTGGCAATAAAGATACAAAATAAATTGGAATGATAATTTCGATATTGATGTTCTAAAGAAAAGAAGAAAAATTTCCCCTCGAGTATTTATGATTGCTGTAATATACTTACAGAAGTGCTCAATTATATTTTCATTCTCATAATGCTTACAACTTTCTCTTCATCTTTAAATTGTCCAGATATTTCAACCATTTTATTGAGAAATACTCCCCTTTCAGCCTTATATACAGTACAATCCATTATGGTATGAAATTTATCCCCGACCCTTCCCAAGTTACAGTCATTTGTAAAAACGTTGGATCATACATCTATATATATTCTTTGATTCTAATCATAAGTGATTTGATTACTTTTGACTGTAATATTCAAGGAACAAATTAATTTGAATTGCCAAGAAACAACGCTTTTAACATCGTATGGACAAAGCAGTGCCGCATGTTCCCACAATATCGTCTCCCACAAAAAAATAGAATGGAAATAGGCAAAACATGAACATAATTATTATAACGTTGTGCTGCAAGTGCTCTGTAATTCAATAGTTGTTTTCGATACTTAAAGGAAACCTCACCCCAAAGAATAAGTGTAGGTATCCTGAAAACTGAGACGTATTCCTGCCCTTTGATATACAATATTCTTTACGAAATGTACAAGAGATATATAAATGAAGATATTCTTTTCATGACATGGGCGCAGCCATTTTCTTAGAAATGTGACGTACCCGGTAATGTTGTTCATATATCATGCACCAAGCTCTAGTTGGAAAGAAACTTTAAATGAATAACAAAACCTTTACTATTCGATGAGGAAAGATTATAATTGAGAAGATAGAAATTATATTTGGTGAAAAATATACAACAGGTATTCGATTGTAAATAATTCACTAACAAATAATAAAATATAGCAGTTGACAAATCTATTTCATTTATGAGAAACCTTCACCTCAGAAGAGCACCAACTTATTTATGCAATTTGCTTTCTGGCAATTGTAGTAAATAGGATAATAGATGCAGGTGAATGAAATGCTTCATCGATCACCAGGACTTCAGGAACTTCATATATCCTTCAATTTTTTACGCTCCGTTATTATAGGAAACGACGATGTCCATTATTTTTTCTTAACGCCTCCCTCATACACGTTGTTGGGGAATCTTGTTGATTAATGGGCAAGAATATAATAAATCTCTTAGAATAAGTAAATTATTACTTAAGTTGGGGTTTCCTTTAATCATACCCTCGCAGAATAATACAGGAGCGTTTGATAAATACTGCACTACCAATTAAAATTTCAAGTGCCACCCCCCTTCCCCAGCAAAAAGCAGTATTAAACGCCATGTGTCCCCTCACTGAATAAAATTATTCTGTCTAGTTGACGTATACCCTATCCAAAATTAAAGCCATGGGGTGGTATTCCGGTAGCGCGTACTAAGTTAGCGCGTGCTTAGTTAGTTCACACTTTTATGGAGTGCCTGTTGTGAACTAATTTACCCTGAACATATTATTTTAATCCTTCAATGAAAAGCGTCCAAAAAATTAATTTTGCAATGAAATGGGAAGAAAAAGATAATATGAGTATGAACTGAATTTCAACAAAGTCTTTGGTAGATTATTCTTGTCATGAATATTGAAGGAGGAAGATGAAACCTAGCATTCCATAGAAGTGTGAACTAAAATTCTTGTTTAGTCTGGACTTAGTCCCGGCCTAACTTATGAGAATACCACCCATGTAGTTGATGAAAGCCAGTAATCACGAATAATTCTTTTTGTCGAAGTATCCTATTTAGTACTCCGCTGGTTTGGTCGAAATGTGTCCCTACTTTAATACAATGTTCGGGAATGCTATATAGTGTGACAAGGCTACACTTGAGAGATCACGTTCAATCTAACTCTTTACAAATTTTGTTTGGTCTTCGTGTTTTGCTTAAATTGAACTCAATCTTGATTTAACAACAAAGGTAAATAAAACCCCTTTTTTAAAGCCTAAATTTTGAATGAAAATAAGTTCAAGAAGGAATTCGTATGTTTGCGAGCAAGGGGGCGTTAAAGATTAGCAACGGCATATTTGAAGTCACGAAAATAGGATAATATTAACATTCAAATGTTCTGAAATCGTGTTTCCGCAGAAATTTGTATTTTGTGTATTTAGTTCTCTCTCTCTCTCTCTGCTTCTCTCTCTCTCTCTCTCTCTCTCTCTCTCTCTCAGTATTTTTCTGTCTATGTGTATGTCTGTCGCCCCTCTATCATTCCTCGCTCTCATTCAATATACCCTGGTCGAGAGCCAGCCTGTCAAAACGCCAGCCTGGATTAAAATCAACACAGTGACTATATTTAGCCTTTATGTGCAAAATGTTTCACCCGTTGTTAATTCCATAGATATTTTTTTTGGTAGAACCAATACTGTATCAAAAAATGCTTATATTTTCTCCACATTTCATTATTACACATTTGTATTTATTTGATAGGCATACATGTATCATGTATCTGTGGGGAATAAGCCTACGAACCCTAGTGAACCTTGTTATTGACGTACATGATTATAATACAAGAAATAGCCGATTCAACTTCAACTTACCAGAAAGAGTAGGTAGTATTGGAAATTCATTTTATTACAATGCCATAAAACATTGGACTTCCCTTCCCAATGGTGTAAAAGAAATATGAAACTATGATAATTTTAAGAGGAAATTAAAGGAATACCTAATACTTGACAGTCAGAGAAGAGAAGTGAATGACATGTTATATGATTGAAATTTTTATTCTTCTGTCGGTTCATACTTTTTCATTTTGTACATACTTATGTTTTCGTACGTTATAGAAATTCTACAAATTCATTATTATTTTCCTCTTCTTTCTTCTCCTCTTTTTCTTCTTCTTCTTCTTCTTTTTCGTCTTGTACTTAATATCATTCTATCATCACTTTAATGTTGTTATTATTATTATTATCTTTAATAAGTAGTTCTTTTAATTTTCTTATCTGTATGTAAATATTACTATTTTAACTTATTAATTTTATACATGTCTGTAAGGGACCCCACTGGAAATAAGCTCTCGAGCTTTCGTGGGTTATCCTGTTCAAGCTGACTTATTTTTGATCTGTTATTATTGTATAATGTTGGAAGCTTGTCGAATAAAAATCAATCAATCAATCAACCTTAGAATTGTTTTTCTTCAGAAAGCGCCACTAGACCGACTTATTGATCTCGCGTGTGGGCCTTCCCTCAACCTTTATAAAGATTCTACAGACCGAAATTGCCGCTCTAATGGGCCGCATATGTTGGTCATGTCCATGTGACATCATCGCTTATCCGAAGCATTAACGTTCAATTTTTGTCTTAGGATACTTGTAAGGTAACAACTATTTTGGAATTTTGATAGAGGACTTTGAGAGTAGTTACCCTGAATGTTTAGGTTACTGAAAACAATATGCATCCAACTCAAGAAAATAAATGAGTCTGAATCAAAGTGCTAATTATCAACAAAACAAAAATACAATTCGCAAGTTAATAAAACTATAATAAAGGTATATTTGGGAAATGAAAAACAGATTAAAAAAAAACACATATTAAGTTTTATTATTGAAAACAATTAGAAATGATAAACTTTAATGAAATTGAATGTAATATGATTAACTAAACTACCTCGAACATTTATGAGAAACCTTCACCTCAGAAGAGCACCAAATTATAAATCCAATCCGCGTTCTGGCAATTATAGTAAAAAGGATAATACATGCAGGTGAATGAAATGCTTCATCGATCACCAGGACTTCACGAACTTCATATACATCTGTACGCGTCACAAACTATGCTACATTATTAAGGAAATGACGATGTCCATGTCGTGCTGAGAAACTGTACATTATTCTTGCTTAATGTCTCTCATATACACTTTGGTGGGGAATCTTGTTGATTAATGGGCAAGAATATAATAAATCTCTCAGAATAAGTAAAGTATTTCTTAAGGTGAGGTTTCCTTTAAACCCCACTGCACTACTTATAGCTACTTGCGCCCTGAATATGGCAAACAATGCCTAATCGGTGACCATTGGTCACCCATGATCCTCTTTTTCTCATGTTAATTGAGAGCGTATTTGATGGGATAACCGCTTGTCAGTGACCATACAGGGAGGTCTATTCCTCCTGGCCAAACTACTGCGGTTGGGCTTTAATCACATCTTCGCAGAATAACACATGAGCGTATAATAAATACTGCACTACCAAATGAAATTTCGAGTGCCCCCGCGGCCTTCCAAAGCAAAAAGCGGTAACGCCCTGTGCCCCCCTCACTGAATAAAATGATTATGTCTATACATTTAGAGTTAATTTATACCCCGTCCAAAATTAAAACGATGTAGTTGGATTCCTGGTGGACATTTGACCCGATCACTTATAACCAAGTTCCCCTCTCCCACGATGAACCCGTGTCATACATGTTTTGATGTTAAATAGTTTCGGGATGGATACTACATATACTTTGTTATTTCAATACTTCATTTGTTGCTGAGGTCTAGAAGTTTGATAACTTCATTAAATCTGTCATATTGATATATCACACATGTATTTATCGCACACAAAATATACACGTTAGCCATACACATTATACTCGGAAGAGGAGTTTCTTCTTTTTCTTCAAAAAAAAAATACGTTTATGGTACCTACCGTTGACATCTTGAATTCCGCCTTCCGCCAATGCATAGCTACAGAGTGATGTAAAAAATACCAACGACAATGCAACTCTATCCATATCACAACGTCTTGCTAATTATATATATCTATGTTTCGGAAGCTAAAGTATGAATTCAGTACGATCCCAAATATACCGAAGCAATGATGAAAGGCAGTAATCACGAATAATTCTTTTTTTCGAAGTATCCTATTTTAGTATCCCGCTGGTTTGGTCGAAACGTGTCCAATACTTTAATACAATTTTTCGGGAATGCTATATAGTTTGATAAGGCTACACTTGAGAGATCACGTTGAATCGAACTCTTTACAAATTTCGTTTGCACTACGTGTTTTGCTCAAATTGACCTCAATTTTGATTATACAACAATGGTAAATAGAACCCCTTTTCTAAAGCCTAGATTTTGAAGGATAACAAGTTCAAGAAGGAATTCGTATGTTTGCTAGCAAGGGGGCGTTAAAGACCAACAATGGCACATTTGAAGTCACGAAAATAGGATCATTCATATTTTATGAAATCGTGACACAGATCAGAATCGATAAGCTATAGCTTTCGTCCTCGGTTTATTTCGGAATTTGACCCAAATGTATTTGTTGATTTGTTTCATCTTTAGCTTTTGCCGTCTTTAATTTTGTTGATTTGTTTGTGGTCTTTCTGATTATTCTGTTTAAATTGATATAGCAAGATATTCTGAAGAAGGCGAGGATCGAAAGTTCAATTGCATTCGAGTATGGTTATGTCATTTTTTCCATTTTTCATATTTGCCCATCACTAAAAATGAATTACTACATGAAAAAAAGGAAGAAAATAAAAGACTTCTCCCGGCCCTTACCAGACAGACAGATCGGTGCAAAATGTACCATTATTGAATAGTATCGTAGAGGGCGATGGTATTAGGAGAGTTTGGCCAACCCGGTTCGAGTTGGACACAACATGGCGACTTCTGCTTTGTTGGGCAAGCACAAAACAAAAGAATATATGCCATGTTGTGACCCAGTGAAATCAAGTTGGCCAAACTCTGTGTATAGATGGCTCTGGTCAACCCGCGATTTGAGCCATCCAATCATCTCATTATGCAGAGAATTTTGCCAACTTGGTTTCAGTTGGTCACAAGATGGATCATATTCTTTTTTTTGTATGCTTGCCCAACAAAGCAGTATTCGCCACATTGTGCCCGGCGTCTGGAATCGGTTTAACCAAACTCTGTATACCGGTGGCAGATCCAGGGAAGTAACGTTAATTTGACCTTTAAAAAGAAACGTCCCCCTCCAAACAAAAAACGAAAAAAAGTTTCTGAAAACTTTGCTCAAAGGGGGAGGGGGTGTTAATTGAGTAGAAGAAAAAAAAATAGAGATCCAACCCACCCTCTACTCTTATTCGTCCGGCTGGCTGTGTCACCGCTAAATATTTTCTCACGAAATAAAAAGTGCTCACTACCCCCCTCCCCAGTGGCGGATCCAGGGGGGGGGGCCCGGGGGGCCCGGGCCCCCCCCCCCTTGAGAAAAAAATCATGTAAAATCACGTGATTTTTACCTTTTTGGGGGGTTGGGCCGGCGCGTTTTTCAAATTTTCGGGAGCAAAAAAACAAACAACAACTGTGCTCTGTACCCCCCCCCCTCCCCACTGAGCGACTTTTCGGCCGGCGCGATTTTCAAATTTTCGGGAGCAAAAAAAAAAAAAAGTTGGGCCCCCTCCCCTAAGAAATCCTGGATCCGCGCCTGCCCCTCCCCGCCTTTTCGGCCACTCGGATGAGTCGACGCTATATAAATATTTTCTCACGAATTGGGCCCCCTCCCTTAACGCCGGCTGGATACGCCCCTGTTATATACAGATGGCTTTGTCAACCCAGTACAGTGTCAGTGCCATTGACCAAGTTTGGCCAAACCAGTTCAGCAGTCCCTTTTGCTTTATAGGCGCAATATAGCGAACACTGCTCTTCTATTTTTGGGCAAGCACAAAACAATAAAATGCATATGAATGAATGATTGAACTGCTTTACCGTGAGTAGGCTACGTCCACACAACAAGATTATTTGATAGGCATACATGTATTGTGGAGTACAGGATGACTTTCTGTTTGAAGCCGTTGCTTGTGATGTCACAGGCGTCGCTTTGTAGAAAGTGTATGGATTAGGCCGCTTGAGGGCGTACTGGATTTTGTGTGTTACTGATTTTCCACGTCATGGGATAGTTGCCTCCCAGAGTTGCCTATGTTTTCGTTTAATTTTGTGATACAAGCCCAATGATATTGAACCTTGCCTGCTACAGTGTGTATATAACCAAATTACAACGGTGCATGGTGTCATTACTATGGGTCTAGGGCAACTGGGTTGGTTCGCCAAATCGTACACCACATGTATCATGTATTTGTTTTATGAAAAGGTTTATGATATGGTTTATGAAAAGGTTCATACCTATACAAATAAGTATATCCTATGCCGGCTAGCTTATTCAACGAAAATATAAAATAGCATCTAAGAATCATGTACCTCATTGCTGCAAGCTTGTGCTTCGAACGACTTTCTTTCATGGCGACCCGGAAGTAAGACACAGACAGGATGAGCACTGCAATGAAAGTCACCACCACCAATACCCCGACAGCTATGCTCCATGATCTATATACATTCTCGCCATCTGCACCCCCAACAATATAAACAAATTGAAACATGGTGGTTTGAATTTGAATGCTTTTAGTAAACCTCATTCATATACATGAACATTTTGTTTCACAATACATATATAAAACAATTATATAAACAACAAAATCAAACAGTGGTATAGTTTCTCGAGTAATCGCAAATTAACAATAAACATTGTAGCTTGTATATACAGTGGTAAATGATATTATTACAAAATAATTATATCACACGTATCAGCCTATGTTTGGCAATAAAGATAAAAAATAAATTGGAATGATAATTTCGATATTGATGTTCTAAAGAAAAGAAGAAAAAAATCCCCTCGAGTATTTATGATTGCTGTAATATACTTACAAAAGTGCTCAATTATATTTTCATTCTCATAATGCTTACAACTTTCTCTTCATCTTTAAATTGTCCAGATATTTCAGCCATTTTATTGAGAAATACTCCCCTTTCAGCCTTATATACAGTACAATCCATTATGGTATGAAATTTATCCCCGACCCTTCCCAAGTTACAGTCATTTGTAAAAACGTTGGATCATACATCTATATATATTCTTTGATTCTAATCATAAGTGATTTGATTACTTTTGACTGTAATATTCAAGGAACAAATTAATTTGAATTGCCAAGAAACAACGCTTTTAACATCATATGGACAAAGCATTGCCGCATGTTCCCACAATATCGTCTCCCACAAAAAAATAGAATGGAAATAGGCAAAACATGAACATAATTATTATAACGTTGTGCTGCAAGTGCTCTGTAATTCAATAGTTGTTTTCGATACTTAAAGGAAACCTCACCCCAAAGAATAAGTGTAGGTATCCTGAAACTGAGACGTATTCCTGCCCTTTGATGTACAATATTCCTTACGAAATGTACAAGAGATATATAAATGAAGATTTATTTTTTTAATTTGTAATATTATGTATATTTTGTATATTGTAAACTGGCCCCATGGAAGACCAGCAGCAACAATTATCGTTGCAGCTGAATATGGGCAACCAGCCGTATATTTGTATTTGTATATGATTATTTTTTATACGGAAATAAAAACAACAACAAGATATTCTTTTCATGACATGGGCGCAGCCATTTTCTTAGAAATGTGACGTACCCGGTAATGTTGTTCATATATCATGCACCAAGCTCTAGTTGGAAAGAAACTTTAAATGAATAAAACAAAACCTTTACTATTCGATGAGGAAAGATTATAATTGAGAAGATAGAAATTATATTTGGTGAAAAATTTACAACAGGTATTCGATTGTAAATAATTCACTAACAAATAATAAAATATAGCAGTTGACAAATCTATTTCATTTATGAGAAACCTTCACCTCAGAAGAGCACCAACTTATTTATGCAATTTGCTTTCTGGCAATTGTAGTAAATAGGATAATAGATGCAGGTGAATGAAATGCTTCATCGATCACCAGGACTTCAGGAACTTCATATATGCTTCAAATTTTTACGCTCCGTTATTATAGGAAACGACGATGTCCATTATTCTTTCTTAACGCCTCCCTCATACACGTTGTTGGGGAATCTTGTTGATTAATGGGCAAGAATAAAATAAATCTCTTAGAATAAGTAAATTATTACTTAAGTTGGGGTTTCCTTTAATCACACCCTCGCAGAATAATACAGGAGCGTTTAATAAATACTGCACTACCAATTAAAATTTCAAGTGCCACCCCCCTTCCCCAGCAAAAAGCAGTATTAAACGCCATGTGTCCCCTCACTGAATAAAATTATTCTGTCTAGTTGACGTATACCCTATCCAAAATTAAAGCCATGTAGCTGATGAAAGCCAGTAATCACGAATAATTCTTTTTGTCGAAGTATCCTATTTAGTACTCCGCTGGTTTGGTCGAAATGTGTCCCTACTTTAATACAATGTTCGGGAATGCTATATAGTGTGACAAGGCTACACTTGAGAGATCACGTTCAATCTAACTCTTTACAAATTTTGTTTGGTCTTCGTGTTTTGCTTAAATTGAACTCAATCTTGATTTAACAACAAAGGTAAATAAAACCCCTTTTTTAAAGCCTAAATTTTGAATGAAAATAAGTTCAAGAAGGAATTCGTATGTTTGCGAGCAAGGGGGCGTTAAAGATTAGCAACGGCATATTTGAAGTCACGAAAATAGGATAATATTAACATTCAAATGTTCTGAAATCGTGTTTCCGCAGAAATTTGTATTTTGTGTATTTAGTTCTCTCTCTCTCTCTGCTTCTCTCTCTCTCTCTCTCTCTCTCTCTCTCTCTCTCTCTCTCTCTCTCTCAGTATTTTTCTGTCTATGTGTATGTCTGTCGCCCCTCTATCATTCCTCGCTCTCATTCAATATACCCTGGTCGAGAGCCAGCCTGTCAAAACGCCAGCCTGGATTAAAATCAACACAGTGACTATATTTAACCTTTATGTGCAAAATGTTTCACCCGTTGTTAATTCCATAGATATTTTTTTTGGTAGAACCAATACTGTATCAAAAAATGCTTATATTTTCTCCACATTTCATTATTACACATTTGTATTTATTTGATAGGCATACATGTATCATGTATCTGTGGGGAATAAGCCTACGAACCCTAGTGAACCTTGTTATTGACGTACATGATTATAATACAAGAAATAGCCGATTCAACTTCAACTTACCAGAAAGAGTAGGTAGTATTGGAAATTCATTTTATTACAATGCCATAAAACATTGGACTACCCTTCCCAATGGTGTAAAAGAAATATGAAACTATGATAATTTTAAGAGGAAATTAAAGGAATACCTAATACTTGACAGTCAGAGAAGAGAAGTGAATGACATGTTATATGATTGAAATTTTTATTCTTCTGTCGGTTCATACTTTTTCATTTTGTACATACTTATGTTTTCGTACGTTATAGAAATTCTACAAATTCATTATTATTTTCCTCTTCTTTCTTCTCCTCTTTTTCTTCTTCTTCTTCTTCTTTTTCGTCTTGTACTTAATATCATTCTATCATCACTTTAATGTTGTTATTATTATTATTATCTTTAATAAGTAGTTCTTTTAATTTTCTTATCTGTATGTAAATATTACTATTTTAACTTATTAATTTTATACATGTCTGTAAGGGACCCCACTGGAAATAAGCTCTCGAGCTTTCGTGGGTTATCCTGTTCAAGCTGACTTATTTTTGATCTGTTATTATTGTATAATGTTGGAAGCTTGTCGAATAAAAATCAATCAATCAATCAACCTTAGAATTGTTTTTCTTCAGAAAGCGCCACTAGACCGACTTATTGATCTCGCGTGTGGGCCTTCCCTTAACCTTTATAAAGATTCTACAGACCGAAATTGCCGCTCTAATGGGCCGCATATGTTGGTCATGTCCATGTGACATCATCGCTTATCCGAAGCATTAACGTTCAATTTTTGTCTTAGGATACTTGTAAGGTAACAACTATTTTGGAATTTTGATAGAGGACTTTGAGAGTAGTTACCCTGAATGTTTAGGTTACTGAAAACAATATGCATCCAACTCAAGAAAATAAATGAGTCTGAATCAAAGTGCTAATTATCAACAAAACAAAAATACAATTCGCAAGTTAATAAAACTATAATAAAGGTATATTTGGGAAATGAAAAACAGATTAAAAAAAAACACATATTAAGTTTTATTATTGAAAACAATTAGAAATGATAAACTTTAATGAAATTGAATGTAATATGATTAACTAAACTACCTCGAACATTTCTGAGAAACCTTCACCTCAGAAGAGCACCAAATTATTTATCCAATCCGCGTTCTGGCAATTGTAGTAAAAAGGATAATACATGCAGGTGAATGAAATGCTTCATCGATCACCAGGACTTCACGAACTTCATATACATCTGTACGCTTCACAAACTATGCTACATTATTAAGGAAATGACGATGTCCATGTCGTGCTGAGAAACTGTACATTATTCTTGCTTAATGTCTCTCATATACACTTTGGTGGGGAATCTTGTTGATTAATGGGCAAGAATATAATAAATCTCTCAGAATAAGTAAAGTATTTCTTAAGGTGAGGTTTCCTTTAAACCCCATTGCACTACTTATAGCTACTTGCGCCCTGAATATGGCAAACAATGCCTAATCGGTGACCATTGGTCACCCATGATCCTCTTTTTCTCATGTTAATTGAGAGCGTATTTGATGGGATAACCGCTTGTCAGTGACCATACAGGGAGGTCTATTCCTCCTGGCCAAACTACTGCGGTTGGGCTTTAATCACATCTTCGCAGAATAACACATGAGCGTATAATAAATACTGCACTACCAAATGAAATTTCGAGTGCCCCCGCGGCCTTCCAAAGCAAAAAGCGGTAACGCCCTGTGCCCCCCTCACTGAATAAAATGATTATGTCTATACATTTAGAGTTAATTTATACCCCGTCCAAAATTAAAACGATGTAGTTGGATTCCTGGTGGACATTTGACCCGATCACTTATAACCAAGTTCCCCTCTCCCACGATGAACCCGTGTCATACATGTTTTGATGTTAAATCGTTTCGGGATGGATACTACATATACTTTGTTATTTCAATACTTCATTTGTTGCTGAGGTCTAGAAGTTTGATAACTTCATTAAATCTGTCATATTGATATATCACACATGTATTTATCGCACACAAAATATACACGTTAGCCATACACATTATACTCGGAAGAGGAGTTTCTTCTTTTTCTTCAAAAAAAAAAATACGTTTATGGTACCTACCGTTGACATCTTGAATTCCGCCTTCCGCCAATGCATAGCTACAGAGTGATGTAAAAAATACCAACGACAATGCAACTCTATCCATATCACAACGTCTTGCTAATTATATATATCTATGTTTCGGAAGCTAAAGTATGAATTCAGTACGATCCCAAATATACCGAAGCAATGATGAAGAAGTAATCACGAATAATTCTTTTTTTCGAAGTATCCTATTTTAGTATCCCGCTGGTTTGGTCGAAACGTGTCCAATACTTTAATACAATTTTTCGGGAATGCTATATAGTTTGATAAGGCTACACTTGAGAGATCACGTTGAATCGAACTCTTTACAAATTTCGTTTGCACTACGTGTTTTGCTCAAATTGACCTCAATTTTGATTATACAACAATGGTAAATAGAACCCCTTTTCTAAAGCCTAGATTTTGAAGGATAACAAGTTCAAGAAGGAATTCGTATGTTTGCTAGCAAGGGGGCGTTAAAGACCAACAATGGCACATTTGAAGTCACGAAAATAGGATCATTCATATTTTCTGAAATCGTGACACAGATCAGACTCGATAAGCTATAGCTTTCGTCCTCGGTTTATTTCGGAATTTGACCCAAATGTATTTGTTGATTTGTTTCATCTTTAGCTTTTGCCGTCTTTAATTTTGTTGATTTGTTTGTGGTCTTTCTGATTATTCTGTTTAAATTGATATAGCAAGATATTCTGAAGAAGGCGAGGATCGAAAGTTCAATTGCATTCGAGTATGGTTATGTCATTTTTTCCATTTTTCATATTTGCCCATCACTAAAAATGAATTACTACATGAAAAAAAGGAAGAAAATAAAAGACTTCTCCCGGCCCTTACCAGACAGACAGATCGGTGCAAAATGTACCATTATTGAATAGTATCGTAGAGGGCGATGGTATTAGGAGAGTTTGGCCAACCCGGTTCGAGTTGGACACAACATGGCGACTTCTGCTTTGTTGGGCAAGCACAAAACAAAAGAATATATGCCATGTTGTGACCCAGTGAAATCAAGTTGGCCAAACTCTGTGTATAGATGGCTCTGGTCAACCCGCGATTTGAGCCACCCAATCATCTCATTATGCAGAGAATTTTGCCAACTTGGTTTCAGTTGGTCACAAGATCGATCATATTCTTTTTTTTTGTATGCTTGCCCAACAAAGCAGTATTCGCCACATTGTGCCCGGCGTCTGGAATCGGTTTAACCAAACTCTGTATACCGGTGGCAGATCCAGGGAAGTAACGTTAATTTTACCTTTAAAAAGAAACGTCCCCCTCCAAACAAAAAACGAAAAAAAGTTTCTGAAAACTTTGCTCAAAGGGGGAGTGGGTGTTAATTGAGTAGAAGAAAAAAATAGAGATCCAACCCACCCTCTACTCTTATTCTTCCGGCTGGCTGTGTCACCGCTAAATATTTTCTCACGAAATAAAAAGTGCTCACTACCCCCCTCCCCGCCGTTTCGGCCGGTCGGATGAGTCGACGCTATATAAATATTTTCTCACGAATTGGGCCCCCCCTCCCTTAACGTCGGCTGGATACGCCCCTGTTGTATACAGATGGCTTTGTCAACCCAGTACAGTGTCAGTGTCATTGATCAAGTTTGGCCAAACCAGTTCGGCGGTTCCTTTTGCTTTATAGGCGCAATATAGCGAACACTGCTCTTCTATTTTTGGGCAAGCACAAAACAACAGAATGCATATGAATGAAGGATTGAACTGCTTTACCGTGAGTAGGCTACGTCCACACAACAAGATTATTTGATAGGCATACATGTATCATGTATCTGTGGGGAATAGCCCACGACATTGGCAATGTTGGGCTAGCTAGTAAACCTTAGAACAATTTGTCAGAAAGTGCCACTAGATCGACTTGACACTTGATGATCTTGCTTGTGGGCCTTCCTTCAACTTTTATGAAGGTTCTCCAGACAGTAATTGCCGCTCTCATGGGTCGCAGGGCAAATGGCATGTCCCGGTTTCTTGTTGGTTATGTCCATGTGACATCATCACTAATCCGAAGCATTAACCTTGTAGTTTTGTCTTAGGATACTTGTAAGGTAACAACTATTTTGGAATTTTGATAGAGGACTTTGAGAGTAGTTACCCTGAATGTTTAGGTTACTGAAAACAATTTGAATCCAACTCGAGAAAATTAATCAGTCTGAACCAAAGTGCTAATTATCGACGACAAAAAATACAATTCGCAAGTTAATGAAACTATAATAAAGGTATATTCGGGAAATAATAGACAGATAAAAAAGCATTTTATTATTGAAAACGATTAGAAATGCTAAACTTCAATGAAATTGAATGTAATATGATTAACTAAACTACTTCGAATATTTATCAATCGTTGCTAAATTGTTATTTTGAATAACTACTTCGAACTTCTGTTGTGCGTTAGAGAATGATTCTACAAATCCTAATCCAAAGACTTTCAAGGTTCTTCATTTCACTATACCTACGTATTATAAAACATTTAGAGCATAATCGCCCCCACCCTGAGAACAAAACAAGTCGCTTGGGTGATGACCTCATCATCTCTCCGTCCCTCCACCCGAACACTTCGCCTACGCCTTTCTTTAACAAAACCCTCCTGCATTGTCTTGTTACCTAATAATACAATGGCATCCTACGGGTTTCTAGAGAGAGAGCTTTCCGCTTCGTCGCTTCGCGCTCCCTTTCTTTTAACATCCCTTTTCATTGACCTATTACGTGTGGGACGTCTTTCACTTTCACTGTAATCTATGCAGAAGCGGTAGACTCGCTATCTGTACAAAACGAGATACGAAACAACCCGGTATTGCTTAGAGGGATATTTGCTTTCCTGCTCAGACTTTCACTACCATTTGAGTGTACTTCTACAGGAATTATTCAACGACAACCGACTCTCATGGTTATGAAAAGAGATTAAACATTTTCAAGGAGAAAATATCAATACGATACATATTTCTATTGGAGGAGTGAAGCTAACCATTAGAGCTCCCTTGATTACGTGGACAAGGAACGGACGCCTTTATCAGCATTCGTCGATAACCGAAAGTGGTATTAACGCACCGTCTCTGTTTCTGTAGACTGAAGAAACTACAAACATCGTCTAAGTGAACGATTTTACATATCCCCACAAATTTGTGATTATTCAACATTTTCGTCAAAGAAAATAAATTGTTGTCCTCGTCATTTCTTGACAATAGGAACGTTTCTTTGATCTTTTATGTGAATCATCTCCACCCTTCAAGGATATGAGAATAATCTGAAGCTCTTTTTGGCATTATGAGTTCTGCAATAATTTGAAAGTGATCTATTAGTCAATCTTTTCCAACTGAAATTGAGTTTTCTACAAAACAACTCTTACACAAGTATCGCCTCTCAACACCACCATGTACGTATGGACTACTCTTGATGCGCCATCAGCACTAATTTTCATCGTGGGGGCATTATCGCTTTTAGTGCCTCAGTCCTGTGGATATCCGACAGGGGCCCCTGTGGATTCGAACCCTGAGATCTGTAGCACCCTGACACCTGGCCACGGAGCCACCCCACAGACCACACCCTCTCCCTTTACCATCACAGCAACAGTGGAATCATATGTTCCTGGTGGAAGTGTACCCTGTAAGTATACCTAATACTTGACAGTCAGATAAGAGAAGTGAATGACTTGTTATATGATTGAAATTTGTATTCTTCTGCCGGTTCATACTTTTTCATTTTGTATATACTTATGTTTTCGTACGTTATAGAAATTCTACAAAATTTTCATTATTTTCCTCTTCTTCCTCCTCCTCTTTTTCTTCTTCTCCTTCTCCTTCTTCCTTTTCTTCTTGTACTTATTATCATTTCTATCATCAGTTTAATGTTATTATTATTATCTTTAATAAATAATTCTTTTATTTTCTTATCTGTCTGTAAATATTACTATTTTAACTTATTAATTTTTATACATGTCTGTAAGGGACCCCACCGGAAATAAGCTCTCGAGCTTTCGTGGGTTATCCTGTTCAAGCTGACTTAGATCTGATCTGTTATTATTGTATATTGTTGTATGTTGGAAGCTTGTCGAATAAAAATCAATCAATCAATCATAATAACCCTAATGCATGGCCAAAGAAGGAGTTAACATATTTTATTTGTATTAATTAACGGAGCAACTGTAGAGTAACCCGCCACGAAAATTGACATGACGTGCGTAGGTTAATTAACTATTTACCAATGGAGCTAAGTATAAACAATTAAGTTTCTTAACCAACCCTAAACTGAATCCTAAACAAACAAACTTACACTAACCGTTATTCTAGGCGTTGTCCTGTCATTTACATACACCCAAGGTTGAAGTGTTCTGGAGTAAAGCCGAATCGCCTCTTCTTGTAGATTCTTCTCGGTGTCACATCATGCAGGAACTAAACGGAAACAAAGTCAAACATAGTGCACACGATAGCTTAAATTACTATTCTAATACAATTATATTGTCTATAAAAATGATATTAGCTCAAACTCCGAAAATATCCAGGAAAACATGGTAATGTCCTAAAGGAAGAATTTGTGTGTAGCGCAACAACACTTTTAATATTATCAAACCTTTAACCTGTAAGTTATTCCATCAAACATTTGGAAAAAGGGAGTGGCGACAAAAGAAAGCCATGAACTCAGTTGTTAAAAGGTAATGGAGTCAGATTAATTACTTGTTAATTTGATATAATGTTCATGATATCCTGCCAGTGTCCTTGGCATAGTTTGCATCGGTCAGCGTCTTCCAGTCACCTGAATCAGAGGCTAAAGACATACACACAAAACAGAAGGAACATCTGATCTTATATCTTGCATTTTCCTCACATCAATGTGGACATTCGATGTCAATCTTCGACGTATCTAGGGAGTCTCATTAACATGATAATTGACGTCAGGAGGATGTTACCTCGGATGATTACACACAGAGTTAACGCCCTTCTTGCTCCCAAACAGACGATGTAGCCTATTGGAGATTACAGAAGAAGAATGGCATGAACAGGAGAAGAAAAGAGAGAATAACATGAAAAGAAGAATTAGGAGAGAAGAAGGAGCAGAAGAACTTCTTTTTCAGTCTGATGGATGCATTGTTATATATGCATCAGGAGGAGGAAGTTTGGTGCGAGTCTTAACTACCTGTTACATATCGTGATAATACCTTACAGTATAGCGGAAACTACCGGACAAAAGTATAATGCCACAGTGAACAAAGCTAGGTTGAATGCATGAGAAAAAGTGAAAGGGCCTTAAGGAAACGAGTCATGGCTGACTGACGTAATTTGTCTGTGCTCATGACCGATGACTGATGCTTCTATAACTCCGAGGCTGCTGATGGAGCGGAGGAAGAAGAATAATAATAAGAAGATGACAATCCATTGATTTTTGGAGGTTCTTCCTCTGCGTGGGCATTAATCTGTAATTGAAATACAGTCAAGCCTGTCTATAGCGATATTTTCAGTGGGGGCACCCTTTTGCACACACAAATCATTCCTCGCAAATCACACACATTAAACAAATTGAGGGGAGGGGGGGGGGGGGGGGAGATTCACCCCCCACCCCGCTGCGTACGCGCCTGTCGACATTTATCAAATCTGCTGAGGACTGCGAAGGATGCATTTTGGATAATAGAATGAAGCCATATTTATCTCATTTGTAAACATGGGTGGGCTTTCGTCTCACGAGTGAAGAGTGCCCATAATTCCTCTTTATGGAAATCTAAATCATGTTTGTTGTAGTGACGTACATTACAAGTTGTTTGTTACTAGTATCCGAGTATTCAATGGCCGCTTGTATGAAGAGAGACGAACAAACAAAACATTCGTCAGAGAAAATGTCGAATATTGACTATGTCTTCCATCAACGCAACGGTTGGTGTCACAGAGAATAGCCCATCTACCAATATTATAATAAAAATTAGATTTTATTTGATATCTAGACAGGTGTGTCAAACCCTAATAGGGCAGAGGGAGGGGGGGGGGGCGTCATGCCCCCCCTCCACGATTTTTCTGATTGTTCGGGAACGCATAAGGATGGTGCCCCGCCGCTCGCTGACTTTTTCCTTTCGAGTCTTGCGCATCTTTTAAAACAATCTTTTTGAAAATCGGACCTACAGTTACAAGGTCACGTGACCTTTTGTCTTCGCATGTCAGTCCGAAAATCGCTCATTTTCGCGATTTGTGTACAAAACATATGGAAAAGTCATTAGTCCTAAAAATAGATCAAACATTGGTAATTGGGTCTTGTTTAAAGTTTAGGTGGTTGTTTTGGGAGTCAAAATCAAGTCAAGTTAAAAAAAAAATGAAATACTTAAGAAATTATCAAAACAAGAGATAACATAAGGAATAAGCTGGGTCTTCCAATTTTTTTGTTGTATTATTATTCCAAATAGTCTAATAAATACATGTAGTGAAAAAGAATACTTAAATATGAATGATATATGATTTATGGGTAAAAGTTTTGTATGACCTTATTTGCATAAATCTCCATAAATATGCAAATGAGTGAATTTTTCAAAAAAATTGAAATTATCATAGTATTCTATACACTTCACTTGACATGCGTGCAAATTTTCGCGGAGATCGGCCGTTTCACGGCCGAGATCTTAAGGGGGGGGGGGCCATAATGCCCCCCCCCGCCGGCCGTACTAAGACCTCAAGTAGCCCGGCCTTTTTATGGTTAAAGTAGTCACCCGAAGAAAATCATCTCTCAAAAATGTTGAGATCCAGATTTTCTGTCTTTAGCGGTCCTCCGTAGAGCGTCAAGATTCATGACGTCACATGCGAGACTCGGCTAGTCACAAAGCAATTTACGATTTTTCTCGATATTTTTTTGGATTTTTCAGCAAATTATTCGTGTTTTTCAAGAGAAAATATTTCCATCCATAATCCATTAATAAATTGTCCATAATTATCAGTTGTCGTGAATTTTCTTCGGGTGACTACAATTATACTGTCCAACCAAACATTGATTCATATCGATGTTTGCGTATGTAATCAGTAATGTACGTATGTGAAAGAAGTAGCTGTTTAACGACATATTTTAGGGATGTCCGATACAATTTGAACTCCTTTAAAGGTACTATGTCCCATTTGCAGGCCAAAACATGAAAATGATAAATTTCAACGGCATTTGAAAGACAATACTAATTTAGAACTTCCTGTAAAACGAAAGGGCTTGAAAAAGAATTTTATTGGGAAAATAACGACCATTAGGTAATGGTCTGATTTTCAGATCCTTTTACCGAATGGTTGTTGCACAAAGATTCAATTAGTTTAATTTTGGCCATTACAGGTAGGGGGTTATTGATGTAGACAAATGCTCATGCACCTGTTACAGCTCATGTTAGGTATGTTATTACCAAAGAAAAAAAAGATGTCTGTCAGTCACTCAGTGACGTCTAGAAGGTAAACGACTTTCCTTGCATAATTTTAATACTAGAACACTGCTAATATTTAAATTTCACAGATAGGACATACATGACATACTCATAATTCCTGCAAAGTTCTACAGAATTTGATGTTGGCTGCAAAAGGGACATAGTATCTTTAAGACAAGAGTTTAAATTTAACGTTTACAGGTAGACCATCTATAATCAAGATGTATATGTTTACGTCATCACAGTTTTGGCATGTTATGGAAAGAGAACGTTAAACAAGTGGTCTAAATGAGCCAGGGGGTTCTCGAGACAAGATGTTAACGGAGTAAGTGCCATCATGGCGTAAAAGTCAGAAACCCCTCGAAATAGGAAAAATGCTGAATTTTATAAATGGTGATGAATGGATGATGATGAATTAAAGTTCTCAAGTCTAGCTGCATATGCAACACTGTAAAATCTCTGAAAACCACATTTGAAGGTGATCTAATTCGATTTTAGACGAGCATCGATTGCAAATTGAGGCCCGGTCACACAGCCCTCCACGGGCGTATCGCGGCCGAATCACGGCCAAAAATTTCTGCCCGTGAAGCAGACGCTGTTGGACGCTTTGAGGTCGCGATAAAGACGCGATACAGCCGTACTTTACCCGTCGTTACACGCGGTAAGAAATTCACACGCGGTTGGCCGCGCGAAAAAGTTTTGGGCTGCCCAAAAATTTAGACCGCGGGTAATCGCGGGCGGTACACGTGGTACACACGCGGTAAAGACGCGGTACAGACGCGGAACGAACGTGCTAGGACGTGCTACGGCCGCGGTTAAGACGTGGTTACACGCGGAATTGGACGCGAAATTTTAGCGGGTAATCGCGGGTGGAGCACGGTCATAGCACGTTTGTTCCGCGTCTGTACCGCGTTGTTATCACGTGCATTAGCGTGTGTACCGCGTGTAAGCGTGGTAGGCCGCGGTACCGCCGCGCTTCACCCGCGATAAGGACGCGGAACAGTCGCCGGCGTCTGTTCCGCGGGCATACCACGGGTAAACCGCGGGTAAGCCAATTTTGCACATTTTCCACCACGGGCAACCGCGGGCAAAAAAAAATCGCGAAATTTTACCCGCGATACAGACGCGAAAGGCTGTGTGACCGGGCCTTAAAAGGAACACGTACCTTTTGATTTGATTATCATGGTCATGCAGAATTGAATGATATAAATGAGCTATAGCTTTCATTAACCTGAGTGACCGTCAATGATGATTGCGGTGACTACGATTACAATGTCGAAAATGGTTAAGTTATTGATTTGTCATTGCCGTTCAATGGTTTGTGTTGCAGGACTATCCTATGGATAGGGCCAGTACAATTGTAGTGCCTCTTGAGCCCCTATAATTTTATCAGCCATAATATTTGCTGAATTAGGGCAAGTACAAGTTGTAATGTAATAACTGGGTAATAATAATAGCTGGGTAGGCCAGATTAGTAATAATACTGCTCTTCCGGGTCTTGCAATTGCAAGGGACCTATTTACACTTGGGGAAAATACCGGGCGAGGATCGAACCCTGAATCTCTTATATGACAACCAAGAGCCTTCTGCACTGAATGTAAAATAGTGCCCTGTGTCCCATGCGTTATCGACTGCTTGATTTGTTTATATTTCATATCTGATCACTGTATTAAGTTGATACGCCTACTAATAGTTTATGAACCAGATACATGTGTGAAATAGAATGACACATTTAAAGTCAATTACTTTGCAGAATGTCACAAATACTTATACGAATTTGACATCAATGACATCATTTCTTGCACAAGGCCTCGTAATGCTATTAACAATCATTGATATAACCCATGATATATCCGGAAAAATAACCTGAACGTCTGTGTAATAATCTTTAAAAAAAAAATTAAAAAAAAGGTATGAAGCTAACTTGTTTAGAATCATCTGTGAAGATTGAACCAGCGTGAACTTGGTTCAGACGGTAAGATGTGTGACCGGGAACATGTTTGAAATGTAACAAAATATGAGGAAACTCAACGAACTGAGGTGAAAGCATCAATACAGACACTAACACCATCCCTTTTCAGTATTCTCAGAATGCATTCTTCGCTCTCATTGAGAGTTTATTATCCAAACAAAACCCTGGAGGTCCTTTGCAAACTGGTCTATTCTTCACTAGACCCATGTTCTATCTTATTCCATTGTTATGTTTACGTAACTTGTTTAGAAAATCAATATTGACATGGCAGAGGCCTTTCGTCAATACATTAGCTGTATTAATCAGGACATGAGTTATATGGGGAACCCACATTCCTTGAATTAATCCACGACATAAGAAAAAAAGGTGTATTTTTACAAAGCCAAACCCACCTTGGCTTGTATAATGCTTCGATTGGTTTGTATTGTAGCTGCAGTTTGTTGCATGTTTCCTTGCAAATGGTTCTTGTGAATGTTGTGAATTTTGAAAATAAGTGTGACATTCACACTTTTTGTAACTTCTGAACGATTCTACCAAAATTATATAAATACATGTACAAGCACTATAATAATTCGGATTTTTTGTAATATTTATAAGCTAAGCCTGTAACAGACTCTAACTTGTCATGTACTTTAGTCAAGCAAAAACAATATACTTACACAAATATGACTGTAAATCACTTATGTGCACTTTCAATAGTCATAATGCGAATTGCATATGTTAGTTGTTGCTAAGAAGGAAAGTAGATTGCTATATATAACAACATGTAATATAATGCAGTTTGCATACTGACTGTTGAAATACAATTAATTGTAACAGGTGAATGAATAATTTAAATCAAGGCACTTCGCATGAAAGTTAGTTACATTACGAACAATGGCCTATTGCCTTCATTGGTGTTATAAGTGGATTATCAAGCAAAGGGCGGGGTGAAAACAAAACACTCTTAGCTGATGGAGAGCTAAATTTTCCATTTCCCCATTTTATGTTCCATGTTAAATCCTTGTTTATTTGCTTTCAAGCAAAAGTTTTAAAAAAAAAGTGTTTCATACAGAAGACAAACCTGATCACGCTTAATTGTCATTGCTATTGAGAGACTATCTTACACTGTATATATTTCTTCCAACCCCCAGTGCAAATTGAGGCCGCAGAGGGGTCCAGCTACCGTGGTTTAATACTCCAAGGCCGTGAGAGGGGTACAACCACACCCATCGGGTCCCTCTTCCTACCCCCGAATAATGACATGCAGGTTGTCTCATGTGAAGAAAACTTAGATACGGTCACGCATACGAATAACGGTATCAAGCCGAGCTCGGCCACCGTCGTCTGGGTAGCGCCATCATTGGACGTAGGCGATGTCGAGTTTGTGTAAGTTTCGTTGATGCGTAGGTCTTTTTTGATTTTTTATAATGTTACAATGCCATCCCGTTGAAAAGCGCTTGTATCTGTATAAAGAAGTTAAATAAGTACTCACTGTCGCTAATAATATCTAAGTTAATATGTAAGTTTTGTTAATGAGTGTGTGAGATTGTGTTCATTAAAGCTAGATGATTACCTTCACGAAAATATTTCTCAATGAAAAAGGATACTTGGTGTATTGATTTCTTATAATACCAAAATGTCATCCCGCTCGAAAAAGCGCTTGTATCTGTATAAAGAAGATAAATAAGTACTCACTGTTGCTAACATATTTAATAAAACTTGATGATACCCAAAACATCAAAGTCAGTCATCGATAAATATATTGAACATGCCATTGTTTAGAAAATGACCAATACCTTGTGTGTAAATCTACTTGAAGCAGTAGAATCAAAGCTTTTAAGATGTAGTATTTTATTCACAATGCGGCTTTCGGCTTTCACGAATTATATTTATAATTATTTGTATATTGGTATTAGCTTCCCTCTTTGTTCTCCTACATAATAACTTACTAAATAAATAAACAAATGAGATAGATATGAGTAAATTTAGTTTTTAGTATCTGAGTAACTTTTAGTACAATTTATTTGAATGATGATGCAGACCGCTAATCTCACCATGTCTTGCCCTACAGTGCAAGCTTCGTATCAAGTTCCCAAGTGTATTGGGTTAACGTCAAATCAATGCCTATCTACGGACCCAATGGACCAGACCCCACGGATCCCCCCATCACCGTTGATCCTATACCAGGTATATATGTTTTTTTAGTTTAGCCTTGACCAGATTAATAATAACAATATTCATCTTTTATATAGCGCTTAATGATAATAATAATAATAATATATAACATTTATTAGGCGCTTAATACAGGTATATCTCGGACTTCTCTAAGCGCTTTACAGATATACTTTTACCCCGGTCATTGGATTCAGTGCTGTGTGCACAGTGTGCAAAATCTCCATTCCCTGGGGAGCATTCCAGCCAGGCGTTACTTGACGCTCTAAAACTGTTTGACAAACAATGACGGTCGCATCCTACCAGGTACCAATTTTAACACCTGGGTGGAGAGTAACAAGTGTATGTTAACATCTTGCCAAAGGATATTAATGCCGTGTCGGGATTCGAACCCTCGACCTTTGCATCTCCAGTCAAGCGCCTTAAACTTGGGTGCTCCGATACATGCTCAAGTGATATATATTCCAGGCTTGAATTGAATTGAATCTGTTCACCATTTGCATACACAAATGTAAAGTCAAAGAATTCAATAAAATATTACTTACGAATATGGACTAGACAATGCAATGGAAAATACACTAAAGGAAATTACTAAGTGGTTGTATCAACACAAAAGTACAGAAAGTTATAGATAGATGATCCTAAACAAATACAGAAACTTACATCATTTCATAGACTTAAAACAACACTATAGTTTGTTTGATTTTTATCTTACCATTTATGTACCGCTCTTTATCACTTGTAGTCATCACATGTGAAGATAGACCATGCTTGAATGGCGCAACCTGTTTCTCATCTAGTAGTGGTGCAGGATTCGTTTGTTTTTGCGCAGATGGGTATACGGGAGATGTCTGTGGCACTATGAGTAAGTAGACATCATAGAATCTTTAGAGTTCAAGTTATTAAAACAATATTTGCAAATCAATCTCTATCTTAAAATTCCGTTGGAATCTGTTTAGGGTAAAATTGGGGAAAAACGGTTAAAACATCACTTATCCAATAATGATTTCATCACATTTTTAGCATGGATTTACACAAGTGATTCTTCAGCCACGAATTAAAAAAGAATTGGTTAAAGAAAGTCTTTTTTCATTGAATATAACCCATATATCCAAATTGTATTTAGCTATTAAAAATTGATGTAAACTATGTATTTATTTGGAAATCTGGGTATTTGATAGAACTGGCATTAATGTTCCGACTGAATCCGGATATCAGTAATGAAATGATACGGGAAAAGTAACGTCAAATATGGAGCAAATATTTAAATATTGTAAAAAAACAACATTATATTCAATGCGTTACCAAATGTAGAGTGATTTATTGGCATCATGACAATGAACGGTAGGGAACTGAAATTCTTCTTAACTTCCTAATTTCAAGACCTCCATTAACTAGAAGACAATGAGATTGCTGCCATTATGATTTTTCTCGTTTATCTCATTGGTATTATTCTAGCTGTCACGTGCGCCGATGACCCTTGTTTGAACGGCGGCACCTGCTTCACGGCCAACAGCGGCAACGGTTTTGTCTGTGCATGCGCAGATGGATGGACTGGCGATACTTGTGAAGCAAGTTGTAAGTTGCTGCACATCTAAAATAAAGATTATTACGTATTCAAAATATATGTTTCAGACGTGCACAGTCTTAAAATTAGTTAATCTTATAGTATTTGAACGAATAAAGTTTATTCTGCTCCCCATATTGTACCTGACCAAGGTAAAATAAAATAGGACCGTTTAAGCATTTTCAAGGTGTAGACTTTCAAGCTTTCGAAGTGTAAAATTTGAATGCTTGATTAGAATTTTAATAATAATAAATCTTTGATAGCGGTCTTATAAGAATCTATTCATTTAAAATCTGACATTAAAACTACATATTCAAGATAATTATTTGAAAAAAGAATATTCGAACCGAAAGATGGTCAGATGTCATCTCTCTTTGCCTATTTGTCTCCACAACAATATTTGAAGAAAACGTTCAGTGTTTGTTTTAAACAAAATTGTCCTCAGCATTTATGCCGGAGCTCTTTGAAACGAATAAAGAATATCACTTACACAACTCCCAAGTCGTGTTTTTTTTAAAGTTCATGCTACCATATCATGTTCATGCCACCATTACATATTTTTTTTTTATTGGTCCTTTCTAGCTATTTCTTGCGCGGATGAACCCTGTCTGAATGGAGCGACTTGTTTCACTTCTAACACCGGCTCAGGTTTCGTCTGTATGTGCGCAGATGGATGGGAAGGCGACATATGCGATATCAGTAGTAAGTAGACGATATGTAGAACAGATTCAAATCAATCCCTCTTAGTTTATGCAAAACAATATTCTGTTCCGTCATTGGAAGACTTATTAAACCCATTTGGTTACAGTGGTCATACAATGAACATTTTTTTACATAAAATAATGTCGTTTCATATTATTAGAAAAAAAATAAGCTGATATAATGTGTTATGTTCCCTCTATCTACCGAGGATGAAAATCATATATATCGTTAAAAAACAACAACACCAACACCAACAATGCACTACATTGAAAATATTTAATCATGTTGTAAACCGATTTGAGAATAGATGTTTGTAATTAAAAACTCATATGATTCATTTCCTTTACGACTAATAGCAGTTATCACCTGCAACGATGACCCATGCAAAAATGGCGCGACGTGTTTCACATCCAACAGCGGTACAGGTTTCATTTGTAACTGTGCGGATGGTTGGACAGGAGATACATGCGAGACTAATGGTAAGTGGAATAACAAAAAAGTTCGGATTTAGCTTTGGAACGATTTTATGGTCAATCTGGGGGGGGGGGGGGGGGGGGGAGTGAATTTTAAATGTTTAAACGTAAAATTAACTATACATCTAAACAAGCAATGTAAACTTACTCATGATGATACCCAATACAAAAAGATGGGTTTTGTGTTGACCGTTGACATCTTTTCTTATTGGTCAATTGTAGCTATCACGTGCTCTGATGACCCTTGTTTGAACGGCGCCACATGTGTAATGCCTATCAGTGGTACGGGATTCACCTGTATGTGTGCATCCGGATGGATAGGCGACATTTGTCAGGCAAGCGGTGAGTGAGATGATACGGACCATGACTGAAGGTTATGGGTTTTGCTCTTACACAACTTGTGCATTTATTTGTTTAGGTTGTGGCCATTTTGGTTGGGAATTAGGTACACCAGATCATGCCATCGTTGTCTATTTACATAATAAAAACAAAGCCTTCCACTATAGAACAAAATCATAACATGTAGGTCTTGGGGTGTGGGGTTTGGGGCGTGATATTTCTTGGTGGCCTTTTTTTTTTTTTAATAAATGATTTTCATTTAACATGTTCCCCAATATGGATATTCAAATGTTATTATTTGTAAGTCATTTTCAGAATTCATACAATTATGAAATGATATACGTTGTCAGGAGTATTATGTAACAAAACATCGGTAATGTGTGGAGTTCCAACGTTTTAAGCACCCTATGCTACTTCACATTCTGTACGATGAATCACCCCACATAGCAAATGATTGTTCTCTCTTCTCATTGGACAATTGTAGCTATCACGTGCGACAATGACCCGTGTAAGAATGGCGCCACTTGTTTTACGGCCACCAGCGGCACTGGTTTTGTCTGCCTTTGCGCATCTGGATGGGAAGGCGACACATGCGAAACAAGAAGTAATAGTAAGTGAATGTTCGTTGTCATACAATACAGGAGAAGAGATAATTTAGATTAGTAAATATTATATTTCTTTTGATATAATATTGTGAAATGGGGCAATGTATGTATTGTATTACTCCTTCAATTATATGAATTCACTGAAAGTAAACAATGGAATAAAGGCTTCTATTATAAATCTTTCTAGTTGTTTATTTGTAATAATGGTTTGTGGCAATTGCTTAAATTTAAAATAGTTATATTTGCCTTAAATGATCTCATTATATCCAGTCCCTGTTCATTTATTTAATCATCCAATTGTCATTCGAATAATAATTTGTTCATTGACTTTGACGAAAAAACACGGTACGTAAATATAAATTTTTTCTTCATAAACCCAATCGTTCGTTCGTGTCTCCTTAGATCAAGATTACTGTAATCTTGATCTTCGGAGTAGTTGCTACAACCGGCCGTGTCAGACACGTTGCCCCGGGGTGCGAGATAGGACTCTTGTAGCGTGCCCCCATTTAAAACAATTATACAGTTACAGTTAACAATACATTTAATTAATAGTATGAAACTATTAAAATTACTCTCATGTTACGGGAAAAAATATTGCATATACATAATTATGAATCAATTGATTTGGTCGATCCAGTTAGATGGCACAAACACGGCACTACTGGACAGAGATCCTAATAATTACAGAGCTTGGTCTTGTTGCTCTGTTCGCCAGCAGTTTAAGGATATGGAATCCCGCGGCACATTACTCACAAGAGTTCTAACAAGCCAAGCTTATACAGAGCCTATAATAAGTAATGTCGTACATGTACCACCCACCCGATCGATCAAAAACTCATAACTCATAACTGAAAAAAGTAAAAAGAAGAAAAAACAAACACGAAATGGTAAACCATCTAAAATTTCATAGTTGTGATAAATATCTATAAAGATTTATCAAGCACCAAAATTAAATAAACCCAATGTAATCTCAACACTCTAATTGACTGATCTCTTTTCTCATTGGCTAATTCTAGCTATCACGTGCGACAACGAACCCTGTCAGAATGGTGCCACCTGTTTTACATCTAACGGCGGTACAGGTTTCGTTTGCGTCTGCGCAGATGGATGGTCAGGCGATACATGCGAAACAAGCAGTAAGTGAAACAAAAGATTTCCTGATAACGAACATGTGACTAAACATAAATATTTGGAAACATTTTACTTTTGAGAGGAACTTAATAAAAATGAAACGTAAGTTCCTCTCCATGCTACCACACACTCTAAATGACTGATTTCTCTTATCATTGGCTAATTCTAGCTATCACGTGCGACAACGATCCATGTAAGAATGGCGCCACCTGTTTTACATCTAACGGCGGTACAGGTTTCGTTTGCGTCTGCGCAGATGGATGGACAGGTGATACATGCGAAACAAGTTGTAAGTAGAAAGATAACCCTTGGCTATTTTTTGATAGACATATCACCAATAACAAGTCATTTTTCCAATACCAAGGAATGTATAGTTGGCGCATAAATTAGTAAAAACTTCGTATGAATGCCCTTTATCTGCTCATGTGCAGATTGTAACAATTGTAATTACTATTTTCTTTCAATGTAATTTTGTTTAACACACTTCGCCAAACTTAATCATTGTTCATTATCATTTTTTAGCATAAAAGCATGTCGCCAATACTTTTCATTTCGATCTATCTTTAACCAATAGCCACTACATGCGCGGATGACCCATGTTTGAACGAAGCAACTTGCTTCTCGGCCATCAACGATCTAGGTTTCCTCTGTGCATGCGCTACAGGCTGGACTGGCGACCTTTGCGAAATAAGCAGTAAGTTGATTAATTAAATTCATACACAAAAAATGCTTCTACTTTTGAAAGATAACATTTCAGCAATTACGTATTATTTAGTAAAAAAGAAAAGTTATCACTTATTTTCAAAGTTTCTATTATAAATGTATTTCAGTTTGCCCACATATCAGAGGTCCCCCCGAATATATGTATGTCTTTTAGCTCATTAAGTTGCTTTCGACTTTTGAAATTTACATTTCAGCGATTAGGTATTATCATCTATTATGTTGATAACTCCTCTGACAGTAATAAACTACCTTGCAGAAAACTGTTTCTTTTTTGCTCTATTAAATACATTTTGAATGAGTGAAATTAAGCAAAGCTCTTACTACCGTAACTTTATTTATCTTCTCATTGGTCAATTATAGCTATCACGTGCAATGATGACCCATGTTTGAACGGCGCCACCTGTACAACACCCATCAGCGGTAACGGTTTTACTTGCACATGTGCCGCGGGTTGGACAGGGGATACATGTGAAATAAGTAGTAAGTGAAATGGAATTAGATAAAGATCGAATTTGACATTTTTAATGTATACATACGCGCAACGATGAGGGTGGGGTAATTTTCTTGTATATAAAATCTCTTAGAAAATTATGTAATCTATCTAATTCTGAACATTCTAAAAAAAATTAGTAAAAAAGAAAGTTTAGCACTTATTTTCAAAGTTTCTATTATAAATGTTTTTCAGTTTGCCCACATATCAGAGGTTCCTTTTTTCCCCGAATGACTTGTTTGTTATTTAGCTCACTTATTTTGCAATTTACATTTCAGCAATTAGGTATTATTATCTTTTCTGTTGATTTCTCCTCTGACAGCAATCGAACTACCGTTCGAAAACTGTGTCTCTTTTGCTCTATTAAATACATTTTGAATGAGTAAAATTAAACAATGCTCTTACTACCGCTCTTGTAACTTTATTTCTCTTCTCATTGGTCAATTATAGCTATCACGTGCAATGATGACCCATGTTTGAACGGCGCCACCTGTACAACACCCATCAGCGGTAACGGCTTTACTTGCACATGTGCCGCGGATTGGACAGGGGATACATGTGAAATAAGTAGTAAGTAAAATGGAATTAGATAAAGGTTGAATTTGACATTTTAAATTTATATATACATGTTTATAATTAGTTGTCCAAAAAACACACAGAATATTTGAATTTATTGGTGTTTTGATTAAGAATAATCATGTAAAATAGAAGTGAGCTGATTTTTGTCCAAAGTATAAACAATAAAATAAAAAAACTGCGGATTATTATAACATGATATGTCATGGTGTTTCGTGTTGCTTATAATACTTATTACTGTCTGCAATGAAATATCGAAATCATATAATTCTGTACACATTTAGTGATTATTGATTATTATGTTAACATTAAATGTTTTATACTTTTATACACATTTCTAAGGAGGATTGTTGACAGGAATTGGATATACATCGTAGCCCTTCATATCTCTGCGTTTCTTCCCAATTCTGCCCTACATTTAATATGGAATTCCTCTCTTTTCATTGGCCAATTGTAGCTATCACGTGCGCTGATGACCCGTGTTTGAATGGCGCCACTTGTGCAACGCCACTCAGCGGTACAGGCTTCGTCTGTATGTGCGCAACGGAATGGACGGGCGACACGTGTCAAACAAGTAGTAAGTGAAATCAGACGGGATAAACTTGTATGGGTATTATATACCTCAACATATATCCTGATTTTGTTTCACAATCTGAAATTGCGTTTTATACAAATATATTTCTAGCGTATTAAAATCTTTGAGATTTTCATTAATTATTGTCCGGGAACATATTATATAAACATATGATATGTTTGTGACTAATTGAGGATCATTTGCAAATAAAAACAGAATTAAATCGAAGAAAATCCTTTTTAACGTTTCTAAATTTATTTTTGGGTCATACGATGAAAAGTGGGGTAATAGTCGTTTCACATTTTGCCAGGAGCGATACATTATACATATTTATTCAGCAAGGCTTCTTCACACTCCTTATAACTTATCTGTCTTCTCATTGGACAATTTTAGCTATCACGTGCGACGATGATCCATGTCAGAATGGCGCCACTTGTTTCAATTCCAACAGTGGTGTAGGATTCATGTGTGTATGCGTAGCAGGATGGGAAGGCGATATATGCGAAACGACCAGTAAGTAGAAAGGAAAATCACACAATGGGAAGAATATGAATAGTAAGGATTGTATGAAGTGATAATTCTCGTCCTATTTACGGTCTTTCATTTATTTGACAGTACTACCATTGTTTGAACAAATTTCCTGTTTTCCAATCTTAACACAATGTTCACTACTCTGAATGCAGTAAGTTTCTTTGCAATCTGCTTGAACGGTAAATATATGTACTATCAATAAATAAAGGTATCCTATTCTTTGTTCTTGTTGCTTTGACAGGTATTGATTGAATCTTATAATTTTGAACTTTGTTGGAAATATACGGTTATGCACGTACGCTATTCTGTAACGCACACAGAGTCTTTGTTTATGTTCTCATTAGAGTTGCTGGTTAATGTAGCAATATTTTCATCAACAAATACTTCCATATTTCAAATATTCTAACACTATATCCATCATTAGGAATTACCATAGAGTATTTTAGCGGAGATATTTTTGAAGTCTGTTTTTTAGAACCAGTAGCCTGGTAGACGAGCAAATATGACGTTAGCACTTATACCTCTCGTGTCCTTCACCGTTTCTTCTCACTATTATAGACTCCTACTGCCTTCAGAACCCGGGATTATGTCAAAACAATGGAGTATGTAGAGACAATGACTTCAGTATGTTTACATGTGCGTGTGGGGGCACTGGCTTTACGGGACCGCAATGTCTTATCAAAAGTAAGTGAGATGCCAATTTAAATTTTCAGATTGCACTGACACTGTAACATTACAAACTGTAATCCATTTATAACGTTTTTTATTGCCTTTTTATTGGCCCTGCTCTCTCTTTAATTTCAATTTCATGTGGAACAAGGGGAATTTTTCAGTACAGTCTGTTTACTAGTATAATTTCAGTTAATAATGATTCAATTCATAAATAGAACAACACGTATATACTGCAAGAAAGAACAATTTTCTGTAAATGATCGTCTATGTTATATTCTTTTTCTCCTATTATCATTCGAGTTCATTTCCTTTATACCAAATGTAAAATTATATCTACATGCGTTAACCTGATATTCTCAGGCAAATATGTGTTTCTTTTCTTTACATATTTCGTCTGATTTATTATAGTTTCTGTAAATAAAAGGTCATGGTAATTTCTTACACTTTTTGCTTTGAAAATTGAAAATTGTGATTAAAAAATGAAAAGTGGCTCATGCTATTCATAATGGTTAAAGGCTTTCTCGGTTCCTTTATTTCATTATAAGGGGGAGCGGACTTATGTATATTATCGCTTTTATACTCATATTTCGTAACAAAACAAATGGTATTGACGTATAAAAATGCATTATTTTTGCAGGAAGAATATATGTACCGCATCATCATAATGTATTCTGTATGGATTAGTTTTGGCTGCTATTTTCTATGCACATGCAGCATTTGTAGAAAGTAAATTATTTCATTGATTATTGCCTGGTGCTTGTAATCCCTTTCTCTCCTAAATATGTATCGTATATAAACCTTCTCTATTTTCGTACAAATTTGTTGTTCATTTCTTTCATATTGTGGAGCTATTCTGCTTTGTGTTCCTCATTAACGAGTTCAGTTTTGTCATTATTGATATTTTCAGTCATTAGCGATTCATGATCATTTGTTTGAATGTGAACAAAAGTGCTTTCTTCAAACGAGTTTGAATGTTTACGAAAAGAAAAAAATACAGAAAGTTGGATGTTCTCGAATTATTTCCACGGCATGGATAGTTTTACTTCCTCGTCTTCTTTCTCTTTGTTCATATTCTATTCTATTCTTTCGTATTGCGCCATTATTTATAAGACTCAAAAGGGCCATACAAAGAATTCGTTTTGAATATTCAAAGGGCATAGTAATTGTTAGCCGTAAATACTTAAGATATGCATTTGAAGTGATGCTTCAAATACTTTTGTAGAAATATTTTGTAGAAATATTTTACAATCAGTGCAATATAGGCTCAAATATAATTTTTGTTTTTCATTTTTAAATTACAAATTAAAACTCTCTACAGCAAAATGACGTGATATTTAGTGGCTTAGGTGATATGTAGGTCTACTGTGTTGGATTTTCTGCTTAATTAGTATCCCAAGCCTAACACTTAGCAAAACATTTTTGACACTATTTTCTCTTCTTGGTTTCATCTCTTCTACAATTGGTCAAATGAAGTTACCACGTGTGACGATAATCCGTGTCAGAACGGCGCCACATGTACACCGCCCATCAACAGGGAAGGTTACCTTTGCACATGCGCAGTGGGATGGTTAGGTCACACCTGTGACATAAGGAGTAAGTTGATTTAGTGATGTAAATATATTGTTACTTTTTGATAATCATGACGTCTCCTGGCAACCAAGAGGGCGTTAAATATCTTTTAACTAAAAATAATTTAGGCCTTTCTGACACCCAGCAGATTAAAGTATTTTTCTTTGTCCCAATAGTGTATATACTATGTTGTTCTACGATGGTGGAATGGACTGTAAATATACATTTTTGATAACGTGCAATGTGATCCAATGGTGATGTGAAATACTCTGATGTTCTAACATTGTGCCACACAAAGTAATAATATAAATAACATAGTTTTTTCACGTTGTTCATATGTATATATGTATTGCAACTCACAGTTCTGAGATTTATAAGTGCATTTGTTTAAAGACATTGTGGAAAATATTACGACACTGTATAGCTAAATTATCAGCTTCGTGAGAGTCATCAATTTCTTCCAAATCCATCCATAGAGTATTTGATATAGCAAATTTTACTCGCGTTCTGAGAACGCTTTAAAATTTGCTCTACAACGTAGTGTAAGGGCCGATTAAACAATTATGAAAACACCAATTATAATAATCATTACGTAATCCCTGCTTTCTAACTGAGTGGGTCTTCAAAGGGTTATGTGACTGTTCTAAATATGTAGCAGTCCTCATTTGAGAAAAATTTCCTTGTTCATGGACATCTTTTTATCTTAATTTTAGATTGGTGCGACCCCGAGCCCTGTCAGAATGGAGGTACATGTAGCTTCAATAATGCAGGAACAAGCTTTGTATGTGATTGCGGTGATGAGTATCTAGATGACGTCTGCACTATCATAGGTACGTACCTAGACCTGTCCCCTTCCTTCTCTCATTGCTTTATGAGGTCTTTCCAACTTAATAAGCCCAGTATTTATGTCTTCAATCTGTTTTCTTAGTTTACGCCTACTCATCAATTATTGTCTGCAGAAACACAAATTATTTTCCTAGCTTATGCATTTCCTACTGCACCTCTCTCTTAATAAGCAATCTCTCTCTCTCTCTCCTTCATTTTCTCTTTCCAAACCTCCTCTCTTTCATTAACCTGCTCTTTACTCTTCCCCTTTTCCAATGTTTTTTTTATTTATAAGAAAATCATCCATCCTCCTTCATATGGTTCCCTCAAAAAAATTTGAAAAGGTGACTATTTGATGTTGCCTTTGTATCTAACATGAAAATATTAATTTTCGGTATTGTGGACTGATATGAGGTTGTACATGGACATGAACCTAATAACTTTCTTTAAAAGTATTGTACCTTGTTTACACTAAACTATGATTGCATGGTAATCAGATGGGTGTGTTTATACAATTTTCTTGTTCTATATAGACCACTGCCTATCTGAGCCGTGTCAAAATGAGAAGCCATGCACAAACAACATCGACAATACTGGTTTCGTGTGTGACTGTGAAGAGGATTTCCTGAGTGAAACGTGCGAAATAATCAGTAAGCAGCAAAGAGTTATTTCATTTTCTGGATTGTGCTATGTATAAAGTAAACTATGTCATGCTTTATATGATATTTATAATTTTGGGAGACTGAGATAATATACGTAACATATATTTTGTTGAATGTAAATGGAGCATCTCAGTGAAGTTCGTGGAAGGTCTATTTTAAAAGCATATAAACCCAACTAAAACCGAACATGTTGGGAACTGGCCACACTATATATTATAAGACTTGAATTTCAATGTTTCACCTTCTGATAGAGTGCACTTGATACCAATCATATATCATTAGCGCAGTGGGAAATATGCAATTTATTTCAGATACACTTTTGCCATTGATATTGTTTTGTTTTGTAAACAGTCTGTAACTAATCAATTTCCTTTGATTTTGTCACAGATCATTGTGCCGATGACCCCTGCCAGAACAACCGACCATGTAGTAACACCAACGATAACTCTGGTTTCGTATGTGACTGTGGCAGAGATTTTGTAGGAGATGTGTGTGAATATGCGAGTAAGTAAAGAAATAATACTGTCTTATCATTTTCTTCTCAAAGCATACAAAAGTATAAACAAATGTACAAAATGATGGATACAAAATTGTATGAAATAAACAGTGTATAGAGAATAGATATCTCATCAAATATATTCCAGGAACGATCATGTAAACTAATTGCTTGTAGGTTGTAAGTCACCAAGTCTTGCTCTTTTTCAGATTTTTGTCAGAACGACCCTTGTCAAAATTCAAGATCCTGCTCAAACAATAATGATAACACTGGCTTCGTTTGTGATTGTGGAGATGAATTCACTGAAGACAATTGTGAATTTACCAGTAAGTAAATACCCGGAGTGACATTTTAATATCTCTGCTACTCCTAAATTTTCTCGAGATTTAAATTCTGGCTTTAAGAATATAAAAGAAAATAAGACTCTCTCCGTTGAGGCCATGATGCAGTAGTTCTTACTATCGAGTCCTTTTGTGGTCTTACCTTGGAAAACGAAAATGCCACTGTCCATTTTGATGTGCAATTGTTCAACAGGGGTAGAGGTATTGCAGGAGTAGCATTTTGAGGGTCTTTGCATTGGCGAGGGATGTAAACCGGGATCTCGGGGTAAAAAGAGTGATATTACAAATTGTTTTCCTGTTTCTGTTTCAGACTATTGTAATGGTGATCCATGTGAGAATAACCAACCTTGTACTAACAACGATGACAACTCTGGATTCGTATGCAACTGTGGGGACGAATTCTTCGGCGATATGTGTGAATTTACAAGTAAGTGTTTACTAAATTCCTGGCATTTGCAGTATTTATTCCTCTTATATAAACTTATTTTTAAAAGAAACTACATTTTACATAGCTCTTTTGTAATAAAGTTGAAAAAATCTTTAGTTTTTTTTCTTCCTACCTTAAAGATAATGAGAAGAAAAAGAGCTACCATTTTCTCTAAAACAACTAATGAAATTTAAAAAGAATCCTCAAATTAAGACAGCAATCTAGGTAATAGATATTGCTATGAACACGATGTTTCATTATTCCTTTCATTGTTTACTCAGATAATACATATTTCTTTATATTGGGTAATGGCAAAGTGTCCAACATGACATGTGCTTTTGGTATCGCTACCATTAGCGTAATTAGTGATTGTGATATCAAGGTATCCTTCATTCATGAATTAAATACATACATGAATGTTTTATGTAGTATGGGAACTTCACAGAACCGTCCTGCTCACCTTGTTCACAGGCTCCACGATATTTCATGAGTTGGATCTATTTATCCCTTCCCAGATTCTATTTCTGACAGAGAGTACTTAATAAAAATCATATATTATTAGTACAGTGGGATTCATTTCAGGTACATTTTTGCCATTGATATTGTTTTGTAAACAGTCTGTAAATATCAATTTTCCTTTGATTTTAACACAGATCATTGTGCTGATGACCCTTGCCAGAACAATCGTCCATGTAGTAACACTAACGATAACTCCGGTTTCGTATGTAACTGTGGCAGAGATTTTGTCGGAGACGCTTGTGAAAATGCGAGTAAGTAAAGAAATACTACTGTCTTATCACTTTTTCTCAAAGCATAAAAACAGTACAAGCAAATGTACAAAATGATGAATAAATAGTACGTTTGACAAAGAAAGTTACAATGAAAATCAAGAGTCTAGTACTTTGATAACTTGGAAGAAGTTGTATAATTTAAACAGTGAATAAAGAATAATAGTGAATAAAGAATAATAGTGAATATCAAATGATATTATTTGATTTTTGTAGGGCCAATGATCTCTTAAGTTTGAAAATCTGTTGTGAATTTTAAGCTCTTACTTGGGATAATCACATCGATATAATACATTGCTCTTGGTTTATCACGGTTTCCAGGCGTTATGTTAAGTTCTGGACTTAAGATATCTCTAATATGATAAAAGATATAATTTGATGGAAATACAGCTTTCATACATCCAAACATTAATCATTGACATTATTTCTGCTTTCAGACTTTTGTGTAAACTTCCCCTGTAAGAACGGCGCCACGTGTTCCAACACTGCGAGTAATGATGGATTCGAATGTACCTGTGACGAAGACTCTGGGTTTACAGGACCTACGTGTGAAGATCGTAAGTATATGCTTCATAAATAAATGCTTACATACTTCCAGGATCTTGTTATGATGTTACCCATACTACTCCTAAACCCTGCTGACCAATTTGTAGAAGAGCAGGGGGTCATATCAAATGCATTAAATTTGTTTAATGCTTTCCTGTACCGACAAGTATCGACATTTCGCATTTGATTTTATTGCATCGGTTTTGCACAATGTTTTGTAAATAATCATTTTTATAGGGAATAAGTGAATTCCTCGTAACACTTTAGGGTCAACACTTGTGCTTTAATTCATTTTGAATTAATTAATTATTTTTACATTAAACAAATAGGTTCATCGTGTTTTCTGTCCTGATCCAATATGGCAATGACAAAGGAAATCAGTATGATAATCTTAACGCATTGTCTTTCAGTGTTTTTAAACCTCTGACTAGTGAAGCGAACCGTTATACCGGAAACTAACTTCCTTCTGACAAGCCTAGGGCATTAGTATGTGGTATTTTTAAAAATTTGCTTTGACTCTTTCTATTTTTAAAAATCTTTGCCTGGAAATTATTTTTTCCCCACACAAATACAACTATGCAAACTTAATTGCATGCATGTTTTTTGATGGAGTAAATCTATGAATGTTTTTTTTTCTCTTTATAGCTATCACTCCTCCTGCTTGTGATTCAGATCCGTGTCAGAATGGTGCTCAATGCAGCGATGAGAATGATGGATTCGTCTGCCAATGTACCAACGGCTGGATAGGAACAACATGTCAAACACAAGGTAAAGACACAACTAGTTTTATCCATTTTAACCCGAAAACATCCATACTCACAAGAACAGACAGGCCTTATAAGTAATTGAATTTCAAATATATCTTGTCAGACTCGGTGTTTCATAATACATTTAACTGATGTAAAGTACATCTACCTTATGAGAGGTAAGATCTGCTAATATATTTTAAATGCTACTATGGCATAGGCCTATCTGCATTCCATTTTCAAAAGTATTTTAAGAATAGTGATTTTCTATTTCCAGATTCTACGTTATTTTCAAATAGCTTAATGCGCTCTATAGTTATTCGAAATACAAATTTGATTATAAAGAAATTATTTAGCTATGACGCTATGCTCAACTTAATGGCATTGTTTAATAATGCCAAATCTGAGATGCATGACCCTACGTCTTATCAGCGTCTTTGATTTGGTGTAATATTGAAGCCCTAAAAAAATGCGCTTCAAAACGATCATGAAGTGCCTCAAAAAAGTAAAAATCTTTGAGTAACCGGTTTTATCATACTCATTTTCTCCAATAGCTTGTTGTGTTATACACAACCGTTAGGGAAAACGGGTTTTTGAAATGTCAATTCCAATCATAAATATCTTGATAATCAGACGGGTGATCGGCTTGTAAACGTCATGGAATTCCTGCTCGAGCTAAATCCAGGATTTTGTTTAGAATATCAGAGAGAACATTCATTCTTTCAATTAACAAGAATCGTTCCTCTGTATAATGTATCAGATTTATCGATGTCATTTCAACAATATATTCTTCATGAAACTTAATGAATATGCCTACGGGCATATCTATGGGCTATGGCATATCATATATTTATTCCTAGGTAGTGTTTGATGTTAGATGGTTCGTTAACCTGAAAGTTATTTGTTCCATGTTTTTCCTGATACACTGCCATTAAGCTATAACAATAGCGGATATGTTTGTTTTAATGTCATGTGACTAATGCAATCATGTTTCAAACTGATGGGAAGATCATTGCTAACGGATGAAATATATTTTTGTAACAATTTCCTTAACTATCAGACTTTTGTCGCGACAACCCATGCCAGAATGGTAGACCATGTGAGAACAATGAGGACAACGATGGATTTCTTTGTTATTGTGGAGACGAGTATCTTGGAGACACTTGTGACGTAATCAGTAAGTATAATCACCATGGTGACAAATTCATAATGCCATTCCTGAGTATTTTACATGTTCTTTATTTCTATACACCCTGGCATAAGAATATAACCTGTTCTAATAATATTATTGTCTATTTGTTTTCAATCGTATTTTGTTTTTTAACCTTTACCTCCATTTATTTCAGCTATCCTGACTACATGAGATCGATCTCTCAACAGTTTTTAATCTAAATTTTGTTTGAGAGATGCCTATTTCTTTATCCTTTGAACAGATTTTTGTGCAGGAGACCCGTGTGATAATCAGCGTCCGTGTTCGAACAACGTGGATGATTTAGATTTTGTTTGCGATTGTGGAGATGAATATTTGGGAGTTGTATGTGACATAAGGAGTAAGTTGTTGTGCATAATTATGTAGAGTGTGCATGTGTTTAAACAAATTATATATTGCACGATATATAGACATTCTGGATGTAGTAGCTGTTTGTATCTTCCTTAGAACGGTTTCCTTTTTCCTCTTTCACATTTAGCATGTTTGCATGTCGTCATTCCTTGCTCATTGAAGGATCTAGCAATAAAAATATCTCATTTTTAAGAGAGGGATAACAGAAATATAATAATAATAATAATAATAATAATAATAATAAACATTATTTGTATAGCGCTTATCACTAACACAAACAAAGTCCCTATGCGCTTTTAGAAAAGAAGGAAATAGAGATAGGGCAGAATAGAAATGAACGTTTATGCCTGATACATGAAAATAATTCATTACAAACAACATTTATGATACGCAATTCCTATATAGCTTACATGTAATAAATTGTACATTCAGATAATACAAATTTAAAAATGAAAATTAGAGTCTTAAAAGACTCCTGTTTTACAATATCAGGCAAGCTGTTCCACAATTCGGCCGACGAACTTTTAAAAAAGCGAGTGCCATAATATTTGGTTTGAGTGCTTAGAGTTACCAGGAGGGATTTACTATTTGATCTTAATTTTCTTATAGGGGTATATTGGAGAATGAGATATTGTAAATATGTGACGCAATATCTCTCACATGGTATGACGAATATCCAAAGTCAGTCCGGGTAGAGTTAACTGCCTGTTGAAGGCCATTATGCTGCATTAGCAGTTGCGTTCGGTTTTATTGCGCGTAGTACTTTGTGCTTCAAACACCCCTGTCGCAATGGAGAGTCGAGTATGAACATCGCAGATCACGCTGATTGCATATGCTGTTCGTGTCTATTTGCAAGTAAGTTGGTCTTACATTCAGTGATATAGTTTATGCCATTTTGAAAAGGATATAAACGGCATGTGATCTAGAACCTCTTTTCGCCTGTTTAGCTTCATTCTCTCTCACTGATACTGTTTTCATAATACATCTATATTTGACTTTTGACATTATTACTTCTAACAATATGTTTGTCTAACTATTGATTTATTAGAAATAATAATACCTCACACTTTTCTTGTAGTTTTATCTTACTTTCAATAAAATCTTCTAATAGAACTCGGCATTCTTTCAATTTTCCCGTCGTTTTGCTCCTCTGTTTCTTAACATGAGTTCAATGTTTAGAGGTATAAATCTTTTTCTCCAGCCTTACCTCAATCTTTCTAAAAATATTGAATTAGATATCGTCATAACGCTATGATATCTAGGAATCGAGTATTTTTAGCAAGTTTAATATAATAGCATTTGTCGTTAGATTTGTATTTTAGTAGAGTTGGTATCTAAATGAAAGAAACGTGAACACGAGAAGGGTATCCAGCTTAGATTAACACTGATATAATGTTGAATAGATATCTCAGCTAACATATTCCAGGGACGACCATGGGAACTAATTGCTTGCAGGTTACTAATCACCAAGTCTTGCTCTTTTCAGATTTTTGTCAGAACAACCCTTGTCAAAACTCGAGACCCTGTTCAAACAACAATGATAATACTGGCTTCGTTTGTGATTGTGGAGATGAATTCACTACAGACACTTGTGAATTTACGAGTAAGTAAATACCCGGAGTGACATTTTTAAGTCTCTGCTACTTCTATATTTCCCCCAACTTTAACAATGTAAAAAAAAGCTACGATATTGGTCAAACATGAGAACATACCATCTCTCATTTAAGGCTGTTATTAAAGGGTACACGTATGCATCTCGGAGATATATTTCGAGATTTAATTTCTGACTCAATATAAAAGAAATTTAGACTCTCTTCCTTGTGGCCATAATGCAGTTGACGTACTATCGAGTCCGTTTGGGGTATTACCTTGGAAAACTAATGTGTCACTGTCCAAATTGTCATGTGCAATTATATTGCAGGTACTTTGGGAATAGCATTTAGAGGATCTTCGTATTGTCAAAGGATGGCAACGAGGACCTTGAGTTAAAAATAGTGATATAAGAACCACTGGTAGAATCGTTTTTCGTGTTCTATTTCAGACTATTGTAATGGTGATCCATGTGAGAATAACCAACCTTGTATAAACAACGATGAAAACACTGGGTTCGTATGTAACTGCGAGGACGAATTCATCGGCGATATGTGCGAATTTACAAGTAAGTCCTATTAAAATCCTGGCAATTAGAATTAAACTTTTCTTAACTATGTAAAGGCAACTACATTTACATAGCTCTTTTGTCATTTTAACTGTTCCTTTAGACTTGAAAAAGCACAGAATAAGCCGAACTTATAGATGATGAACAAAATAGCAACCATTTTCTCTAGAAAAATTAACGAGGTAACAAATTGTCCTAAAAATAACACGATGTTTCATTAATTAATATCATTGTTTACTCAGCTAATGCATACTTCTCGAGATTGGGCGATTCGGATTGTAGTGTCTCCCCAACTTTAACAATGTAAAAAAAGCTACGTTATTGATCAACCATTAAAAAATATCGTCTCTAATTTAAGGCTCTTATTTTAATACACTTTTTCATAATTTTAATTCACCGTGCTCATGAGCTTCTGGTATGTAAAACTTCACGCAGTTATGATATCTAATGAGTCGGATCCATTTATCCTTTCCAAGATTTCTGCCTGAGTGATCCTTGTCGTAATGGGCGCTCTTGTGAGAACAATCCAGCTAATACAAACTTCAGATGTGATTGTGGTGAGGAGTATCTAGGATTCAGGTGTCAATGGACAAGTAAGCTACTAAAATAGTTGATGATTATGATGATGGTGGTTATTTTACCTGACTGCTAAGAAATCATAAATGCTTGTGAGTAAGCAATCAGACGGCCGACGGATTTAGGTCCTCTCCGAGGGGACCTGGTAATGAGGATTAATGCCTTACCAAAGGGCACTTAGCGCATCGCCTTGGTTTCGAACCCGGGACACCGGATTACGAGACCACCCATAGGAAAGTGAAAAGAATCTGCCGCAGACCTGCCGCAGACTTTTAGTCTGCGGTAAAGAGTATGCCGAAGTATGCAGCAGAAAGAAATTTTGCTGCAGACTTGCCGCATACCAGTATGCCACAGGAACAGTCTGCGGCGGATCTGCGGCAGGATGAAATTTTGCTGCAGACTTGCCGCATACTAGTATGCCACAGGAACAGTCTGCAGCTGATCTGCGGCAGGATGAAACTTTGCTCCAGACTTGCCGCATACTAGTATGCCACAGGAACAGTCTGCGGCAGATCTGCGGCAGGATGAAATTTTGCTGCAGACTTGCCGCATACTAGTATGCCACAGGAACAGTCTGCGGCACATCTGCGGCAGGATGAAACTTTGCTCCAGACTTGCCGCATACTAGTATGCCACAGGAACAGTCTGCGGCAGATCTGCGGCAGGATGAAATTTTGCTGCAGACTTGCCGCATACTAGTATGCCACAGGAACAGTCTGCGGCAGATCTGCGGCAGGATGAAACTCTGCTCCAGACTTGCCGCATACTAGTATGCCACAGGAACAGTCTGAGGCAGATCTGCGGCAGGATGAAATTTTGCTGCAGACTTGCCGCATACTAGTATGCCACAGGAACAGTCTGCGGCAGATCTGCGGCAGGATGAAACTTTGCTCCAGACTTGCCGCATACTAGTATGCCACAGGAACAGTCTGCGGCAGATCTGCGGCAGATCTGCGGCAGGGCGAAACTTTGCTCCAGACTTGCCGCATACCAGTACGCCACAGGAACAGTCTGCGGCAGGTCTGCCACAGGAAATCCCATTAAAGTCTAATAGGGCCAATTGAAACCAATCATCTCATGCATATTCATTATTACTTTACACGTGTGACAGAAAAATACATTTATCATGATTTGTTAAGCAAATTAAGACAATGCACATCATTTTTGTGATTTCTATTTTCCTTTTGCTATTATTAACCAATAGATTATTTTGTCTGATCATGTTACAATTACATTCACGTTTAAGCAATAGATATATTGATTACTAACCAAGAAACTATGATTACTAACCAAGAAACAATATACATATTTAGTATATATATATATGTGTACGAGCCTGTGTCACTTTAAATTATACTCTTGAATACACTTCAAATGATCAATGTGATGAAGTTAATACAATTGAGAATAGAATATACCTAATTGGTAATATTGATATATATTGGTATTACCTATAAATTGGTAATATCGACATTGCCAATATCGATTATGAAGTATCGGTGAATTATCACTATCTTCTACATGCATACTTTATTGCCACGTACTGGATATGAAAGAGTATGCGGCAGGTCTGCAGCAGGTCTATATGAGATATGAATATTCATGACGAAGAGTCTGCGGCAGGTCTGCAGCAAGTCTGCGGCAGACCTGCCGCAGACTCTTCATCATACTGAAAGAGTATGCGGCAAGTCTGCAGCAAGTCTGCGGCAGACCTGCCGCAGACTCTTCATCATACTGAAAGAGTATGCGGCAAGTCTGCAGCAAGTCTGCGGCAGACCTCCCGCAGACTCTTCATCATACTGAAAGAGTATGCGGCAAGTCTGCGGCAAGTCTGCGGCAAAACTAATTTGCATGTGAAAAAGATGACTGTCTGCGGCAGGTCTGCTGCAGATCTGCGGCAAGTCTGCCGCAGGAGTATGCGGCAGGCTCATTTCTTTCCTATGGGCACTGCTCTACCGACTGAGCTATCGCGACTCCAATTATCAATCCTATCTACTCTTAATTTTGATTTATTCACCTGCGTATATCTTACCAATGTACCATCATACTTCATCTTTATGTTGCGGTATTTTTTTTAGAGATAATTGTTGTAATATGATCCTTATTATTAGTTAATTGGCATTACCTTTGCTCGGAGACGGCAGTGGAGGGGGTGGGGGGGGGGGGGGATGGACGAAAGAGTGAATCATATGGCCCTCTAGTCTCTTCTTCTTTTATATGGCAATGCAGATTTACAAGTTCATCTACACAGAATCATGTTACTCCATTGCTTGCCTACGGCTACCAGTGCCTAATGGGAATGAAGAATGCATTAGTCAACGTGTCACTTTGTAACGCCTTTGTTAGAACAAAAAAATGTTTTGGAATCAGTACTTATGTTTCAGAAGACTTATATATATCTCCCAACGTTATTAGAAGGCATAGTCATAACTGAATAACAACCAACAACTCATCCCTTTTTTTGTGCAGATTTCTGTTTTGATGATCCATGCGAGAACGGAAAACCGTGTTCCAACAATGATGACAACTCCGATTTCGTTTGTGACTGTGGCGACGATTTTATTGGAAAAACGTGTGGATTTCCAGTTTCTAGTAAGTACATGGAAAGGAGTAAACTTAGATAATGAGTTCTCACATCTAGTTGACTAATACAGTTGTATCTAAATGGTAACGGCTGCTGTCCATAATTTCACTCATTGATATTAAAAGGTGTCAATTTGGGCTTATTTTGAAGAGTTTTAAGTTTTGCGATTTTAAATACATTAAAGGTATAGGTCAGTTCTGGTCATGCGATTGCATTGTAAAAGAAACGTTGTGGAATCGATCAGAAAAGTTTGATCATCTAGCATATAAAGTATTGGTGTGTACTGCAAGGTTCTGGAATCATCAAAATGAAAAGAAATTTGGCCCAGTCTTGGTCAAGTTACAAGCACTGTACACAGAAAGATGTATATGGGACTACCCTATATCTATCCAATCCGGATAGATATAACAATTGACCAAATATATCAATTAGTAGGCGGTTTCCCTGCACAATTTGTATCATCACGTATTAGTCAAAACATATTCTCTCACATGATTGTTAACAAGAGCTTCCATTTCATTTTTTGAGAGGGAGCGTTTCCAAAACTGGTCTTTACCTTTAAGAGCAGTGAATAACTTCTAAATATTTGCAATAAGAAATGATGTATTTGACAACTTTTGCGATACCATTATCATGAGCAGTATTAAATGTATTTGGATAATATACGATCTATCTCATCCTCAGCTACAGATTTCTGTATGGACACCCCCTGTCAGAACGGACGGCCTTGTTCAAACAACGAAGATGACGATGATTTTGTATGTGATTGTGGCGATGAGTATATTGGAGATCGCTGTGAATTCACTAGTAAGTCAATTCTTTCAACAAACTGCCTTCCCTTAAACGATAAATTCATGGATATTTTTGTAAAAAACAAGGACATTATGATTATTAAAAAAAGAATCTGGGGGGGGGGGGAAACTTGTATCTTAATGCACGAATTGTACCATTTCATTAATACTAGAGTTGTATAGAAATTACTAATAAATACATTTCATAATTAAATAGCTAAATTATAAGTGGTTAAATTTTGCAAAAAAACTGAGCGCAAATTCTATTAAGAAAGATAAGTTATATAAGAAATCTTTTTATTTTACATTTTTACTTTTTAATGAAGTGAAAGTATTGTATTTATTAGGTTTACATTTCCTAATTTAATTTAGATTATATTTATATTTAGATGTTTCTATGTCATATATCTCTACATGACTGTTAATACAGTTAACAACCAAATTATTCTTAAACTTACCGAGTTGCTTTTTTAGTATGTGAACAATCGTTTTTTCCCGATTTGTATTTATTGAGAATGTTACATATTAAAGCTTATATCTATAGACGTATCCAACAAATGCCCTTTTCTGCCAGTCCATCTTTCATTCTCGAGTTACGAAAACACACACAAAAAAAACTTCAAATTTACAAGGAGTATGATCAATTTAGTGGTTAACTGTATGTAATTTCGTCATATTTAGGTAATTAAATATGTTTTTCTCACTCCCTCTCTTTGAGCTTTTCGTTCGTTTGTCAATATATCTTGGTGCATGTTATAGGGTTTGAATTCCTTCCTTGATACCCCCCTCTAGTTTGTTTGTTGCATGTTAATCGTACTTTTTCAGATTTGAGAATTTAGAACATTGACTAAGGTTAGAAATATTCTTTAAATTTGTCATATGTTTATGAGAAGAAAAAAAATCACTCGACAAAATTATTTATTTGAGGTCTAATAATTGTCTTGATTGTGTTGTATAGACTTTTGCTTAGATAACCCGTGTGAAAATCAGCGAACATGCTTGAACAACGATGATAACACTGGCTCCGAATGCGACTGTGGCGATGAATTTGTCGGTGGAAATTGCGAGTTCACAAGTAAGTTTCCATTTTGTTTTCTTGGGTCAAATTATGAGTTTAAGCATGATTATCATATCATTTTTTCATGAAATACAACCTTTGTTACATATTCGTAATGATTTTAATTATAATCTTAGCATGTGTGATTACGATTTGGACAAGGTTAAATCGGACATCTCAGTTTACCGAATGTATTTTAATGTATACTAGAGTTTCTGTGGTTTAGCGGATAAGACTTTCAACCACAGGGTAAGGGCTTCAATATTGTGGATGGAGGCGAGTTACACCGCGTTTTACCGAACAATTTGTAATAATATCGGTGATTTGAGATTTAAGATTGCAAAGAACTCACTTTAAAGATATCGAAAAACTTTCATAAACAACCAAAAAAATACAACAATATTTCATTATAAAGGAGGATACAGAAATAACGAAGCCTTTCATGTCAGTCATTAAACAAAATATTTCCTTCTCCACCATCATCTTATTATGCAAGTTTCATTACCACTATTAATTTGGGGTCGGCTAATATTCTGTTCAGTTTTTCTGACTCTTTGTTGTTTCCATGATTCATCTGAATTTCGGTCTTTGTTAAAATGATGTCATAGATCATTTGAGCTCCAAGTTACCTGATATATATCATTTCCGAATACATATTTGATTTGATTTGATTTGATTTATTGGTTTCTGCATCTTTTTTCTTTTTTTCATCATACATTTTCATGAACATATTATGGCTTGATACAATATTTCAAGTGTATATAATTTTATACAGATAATAAACGATATTAAACAAATATATTGAATTTAAACAAATATATCGAATGCATATTTAACATACATTAGATGCAGGAGGGCTACAGAAATAAGCAAAGTAGCTTGACGTGCCCGCAGCCCTCAACTTAGATACAACAATACAAATACAAAATAAAAAAGAGTGACTTGCAGAGAAGAAAAGGAAAGGGGAGAGAAGAAGCGTTGGTAATAAAACAATAAATCTCATACATCTGCTGATTGAATGCAGGTTCATTCGTGAATGGAAAAACCGATGCCAGGTCATGGTCATGACTTATCTGTTGATATTTGGAGAAGGTATATCCAATCAAATCACTTTTTGATTTCAGATTTCTGTATAAACGACCCATGTGAGAATGACCGACCTTGTTCCAATAATGGAGATAATTCTGGATTCGTTTGCGACTGTGGTGATGAGTTTCTGGGAGATGCATGCGAAGTCACCAGTGAGTTACAGAAACACGCTTCATTCTTCAGAGAGTCGTCGTGAATTAGAATAGTATAGCTTCATGCATGCGTAACCGATATCATTGTTATCACAAGAAAACATATAGGTAGTATTAAGACGATCATGAATTACATCTCATAATTTGTTTCATCACTAATCTATATATTTGTCGTCTTAAAGCATTGTCTGTATCATTTTAGAATATTCCAAGCCTACTGAGGATTTATGCCACCCCCCGTAAATCATTAGATGTTCTCATACATGTATACTACTAAATGATATTAGTTTATCTGTAAAATATTAGTAGAAATTCGTATTGAATTTTCTGAACGTTTTCTTTTTTGAACAGAGGCTTCTCAATATTTAACACTGTATGATAATAATATATTTCCTAGTAAATTTATCAAACCGTTAACATGTATTTTTGAAATTATTCCTGTATTTTGTAAGTTTTCATTATACAAAAATAGTATGGTGTACATTGATTATGAGATAGATGTGTCTATTACGGCCTTTATATTGTCCTTTCTATAACTTACTCTATTGTTTACTTCTTTGGTTGCACAAAGATGGATTTCCCTTTTGGCGCAACACTGATTTCTAATTAACACATCTTATACTATTTAGAACTTGTTATTCATTTATCTTTTTCTTTTCTATTGAACATGGTGATTAATATTTCTGACATTTTATGTATAGGACTGAATAGTTTAAAATACAGGTTGTAGAAATATAAATTATTACCCTTTAAATTTACTTTTATTTTGAATGAATGTATGTACTTTTGTCACATTATTGTTACACAATTATAGTTCTTCAATGTCACGGAAATAAAATTACTATAGTACTAAACAATTCGATTATGAACTCCTTCTATAAATTTGTCATAAAATTCATTTTTTGTTGTTGTTGAATGCGTTTCTCTAATTTGAAGGTTTAAAAGCTATCACACATTTGGAAATAAGATTTTATATGGCGTTTCGTACAAAAAGTAAAATTCACCATTGGAGCAACTTCGAGATGCTGAATTATTATTATTATTATCGTCATTTTTTACTTTTCAGTTCGTTATGCTTATCTCTGTGATCTTTCTTTTTAACCTTTGTCTATTACAGCGAATCGTATGTTCTTGTCTCCTCCGTCCACTAAACATGATATTCATCTTATTTTCAAGATGATTTCAATACCAGATATATTTAATTTCTTGTCACTATTTATCTCCTTTGTTTTTTAAAGTTATATCGAATATTACGTCTATTCATTCTATTTATTTTCTTCTCTCTTTATTAATTTTGTATTTATTTCTGCCCTTTATATTTAACTCAATTCGATGCCTTTCTCTTACTCGTTCTCTCCTTATCGCACCGTTTCTATATTTATGTTTATATCTCTTCCTTTCCCCCCTTTTTTTTTTAACTTCCCCTTCTTTTTCTTCTGCATTTCTTAATTGTTGATGTACGCTAACTTATACATCCTCCCACCCTTTCTTCTCTAGATCACTGCCGTTCATCACCCTGTAAGAATGAGGGACTGTGTTCCAACAGTAATGATGATACTGACTTCGTTTGTAGCTGCCGGGACACTGGATATACAGGCCCTATGTGTGAAGAGATAGATCGTAAGTTCGTCGTAGAAGAGTCTCAAGAACGATTGAATGTATTTTGTTTACTCTAATCTTCTTCTTAAAATTTTCGGTGAAGGAAGAGAGAGAGAGAGAGAGAGTGTGTATATGTATTTATGTGTGTGTGCGTGTATTGTGAGCTTGTGCGTGTGTTTGAGTTAGATGAAATTAAAGATTTAGAATGGTGAGATATATTTGTTGGGTTGGCAGGTAGTTCATATAGAATAAAAATGTGTAATACTATATAATCTTCATGGTGAAGTATGTTAAATTTATGTCAAGATCGGGGGGGGGGCGAGTACAAACTTTAGAAAAGATGGAAAAAACATTTTTAAGTATAGGGATGAGGAAAAGAAAATAGCCATTAGAATGGGAAAGCTGGGATCACATCTCTTAAAGTGGGAGAAGCTTAAGATTAACTAATTTTTGTTTTCTTCTCCACCGTGAGCTTGTTAAAATTGTAACTCTATTTTGCAGCCTGGTTAACTTACTTATTTAGTATATTTGGCATTTAACACTTCTTTGACCACCCTCTGCTAGGAAAAAATGCTAATAAAGTGTCTATACTCCAACACCTGATGATGAATACTTATAGTAACACAAATCATGTTTTCGATCATTTAATGAGATATGGTGAGAGTTGATAATTATAAAGAATTCAAAGGAAGTTTTCTATCATCTCTTACGACCTTATTATTATTATTATTTCCTAGTATCCACCGAATCTCCAATCAACTGCGAAGGGCCTTCCCCGTGCCAGAACGGTGCAATATGCGTCTTTGATGTTTGTGTCTGTCAGACGGGCTACAACGGAAGGTTCTGCGAAAATGGTAACTATCTTTATAGAGACAGGCGCGTACGCAGGGGGGTGTTTTTTTTTTTGGGGGGGGGGGGGGCGACCCCCCTCAAATTTTGTTTATGTGTGTATTTTGGAGGACCCCCCTAATTTTGTTTTTTAATAAAATAAAAAAAATTGTGCAAACGGGTGACCCAAAACAGGTGACATTATCCCCCCCCCCCTCCCCAAACGGAACGAAATACAGATCGGCCAAATTTGCGGGACAAAAAATGTGCTCTTTGAGTCAAAGGCTCTTTGGTAAGTGCGAGAAAATTGTGCCCATGTTAGAAAAAATAGATATATGGTTACTTAATGACCATTTCATATGGCCTAATTTTGATTTTAAAATCCATTTCCTATACAGTTGTAACCGAGGCTCCAGTTGAAGGTTGCGGGGGTCCGCTCCCGTGTAAGAATGGCGCCCGATGCCTCTCCAATGTTTGTGTTTGTCAAGCTGGTTTCACCGGAACATTATGCGAAAACAGTAAGTACCATTGACTTATTCTGAAGAAGAAAAAAGCTTAGCAAAGTAAAAATCTCGTAAAGATTACAGTTGTAAATTATTATTTATTGCTAATTGTTTATCTGGAGAAAAAGAAAAAAAAGATGTGTTTTCTATCTTGTTGGGGAAGAAATGTATTTGCGATAAAAATGAGGTGATATTTCTTTGAAATTACATTCTAGTTAACCCTTAAAGTGCATGGCTATACCTGAATTCTTAAGGTCGGGGTCTACTCTTTGAATTGAATTGAATTTATTCACCACCATTGAAACAAAAGATATATATAAATGTACAATGACAATGACAATGTCAATATAACATAAATACATGACATGAATTATAAAAAATACATGTTCTACATCGATATACATGTACATTTTGAAACTGTTAACAAATAGTTATAAGTAATTTTAGTGTCAAGAGTAAAACAATAAATGACTATTTACAATGAGTTTGTGATCGATTGTAAAATTGAGTCAAACATAGCACATGAGCTAGTCGTGGAATCACTTTGAATATACATTTTCCCAGTCGTGTAATCTTCATAGATACAAACGTCTATTGAACCTTTTAAGTACTTTTTTTATATAACCATTACAAAAAATGTAGCTGCTCTTCACAACCGACTATTGAATGCACCATACTTCTCTTAATGTAAGCCATTGCCAGTTATGCAAACTGTGCTCTGTTTCCCTAAAAAATGCTCTTTGTTTAGGGTTCCATATACTAGTGACCAATGACATAACGATCAGCTATACGTATTGCTTCTGTAAAGAGAAAATAATAATTTAAATCCAAATTTCCATTCTGGAACATTAAAAGGGATTTGCAGGTGAAGTAGTCGCCACACACGTATACATGTTCAACCCGAGCTCTGCGTTCCATACCTTATTATAATGCTCTTGAATCATGTTCCATTTGTATGTGGTTTAAGCGATCTTATAATACTTGTCATTACATAGTGATATGTCTTCTTTAAATACTAGATGTGCATATAGATGAAGATCAAAATGAAAAAGAAAGGTAGATTCAAGAACATGCCTTTATTTCTTCTATTGTAGACATAGATGATTGTGCTTCTGAGCCATGCCCTTCACTAACATCAAACTGTGTGGACCTAGTCGATGGATTTGCCTGCTCGTGTAAGAATGGATATACAGGAGAATTGTGCGATCAAGGTAGCTTGAAAAATCTATCTATGACTCTGATTTGACTCTGATAAAACAGACTAACGCAAGATAATCTTCCTCGTTGTATCAGTTTGATCATGGTCCTATTACGGATGGAAATTCAGCGTGATTCTTTCTTTGATCCTATGATAGTCACCGCCTTCTGATTATTTGCATCTTAATGAGAACATTCAGCTGTTTTAACAATAACGACTGAGTAAGCATTTTTGGGCATTGACAAAGGAGCAGTTTCCCTCTCTTGGGTTTTGTTTGGATGGTGTGCTCTGTAAGAGTATGTCTTCAATAAAAACATCCCCAATGGGGAGCAGCAAAGTTGAAAAGCAGACGATTTTGGTGATATTAAATTTATTATTACTTATTTGCACACTTTTGCACGCACCAATGACCTTATAAAACAATTAGAAGGCCATGATCTTAATAAGCCCTGTGCGTTGTAATTCTGGAATATTATGAGGAAATTGGGGATAACGGAATTTTTAATCGAAAACAATCCAAACAATACCTTTCTGGTAATATCAACATGTTTTTCAGAAATAGAACACAGTACACGGAACAACAATTTCCAATTATTAACCAGAACTGCACATCGATTTCCCATGATTTAAGGGATTTATTATCTTCTGCGCATGTAAATTAACATGTTTAAAGTCACTATCTTGATTCTGTCCCAATTTATTGTCGGTGACCATCATGAGATCAAGGTGAAGAAACATGTACGGAATGTTATTGAGACGACATTGACGGAGACAATCACAATGAATTCGTTAAGAAAACGAAAGAGTCGTCATAGGTCCATGGTTTGATGGATCTCCAAACAGAACACGATCGCAAAGACTTTCAAAAAATCAACAAAAGGACAATCTCATTTCAATATGTTACGTCCTTGTCTTTAGAAATCATGCTAAGAATACGTAATATATCATTGTCATGTTCGCACATTTTCTCAAGTAACGCTGATTTTTGTTAAGCCTTTGCGATTGTGTTAATGGATTTTAGTCTTAAAATGAGGAATTTCATTTGGTTAATTGATCTTGTTGCCGTGTTCGGTATTGACTAGAAGTGATATTTCCAGTCAATTAATTTATTATTACGTTACTTTAGTCACATTTAACTAATTTTACATATATCGGCTTAACTCCTTTAAGCTTTTACATAAGCATCTTTAAAAAAACGCCAACATTGGCTACAAAAATGCTCTATACCAATAGCCTTTTTATTGTAAATCATTAATTCAACGTCTTTAAACAGATCGCTTTTTGATTCGTTGAAAGTGAATCATTGATATTCCTCTCTTGTGGTCAAATGACATAGCTAAACATAAGTAATAATAGCCCTTATCAATAATGTTTATTTGTTTGTGCTCCTCGTATGTATTGCTTTCCCTCTTGATGTTATTCTCCTTATTTTAATTTTATAAACCTTTATTTTACTTTTAAATATATATATATATTTTTTTAATCTCACTCTCCTTTTCTCTCGATATCTTTGTCTCTATTTATATTTCCTACAACCAAGCTGATAATGGAATCAACGACACTCAAAGCCAGTCCAACCTGCTGATCGACCCGTGGTGGATTGCTCTTATCTGCCTGATAGCAGTCATGGTTCTAACCGTCATCGGTCTATCCATCTGTACATGTCGAACCGTCAAGGCCGCGAAGACCAAGTCTGACATCAGCCCGTAGTCTCACATAGGACATCACATGGACTTTAAAACAAAACCAAGGTCACAAACTTATTCCACGTAGTCCGTCTTTGTCTTTGAAGTATCGTAAGAAATGATTATATCATTTATTGAAACTCGTATCCACTTCCATACTATAACCACTACTGCTACGAGTAATAGTAGAAGTAGTACTTTTACCACTACTACTAGTAGTTGTAGAAGTAGTACTACTACTACTCTACCACTACTACTTCTACAACAACTACTACTACTACTTCTTTTACTCTTCTCTGAGGTTATTTCATCCATTAGATAAGGTTCACGTAAAGCTCCATATACAGAGGCGACAGCTTGATACGATATTATGTAAGTTTATTTGACAAAACGTATAATTCACTTGGACTTAATAAATTCTCAAGTATTTTCTGTAAAGATTCGAATGATTTCTTTATTAATGTATATTTTTACACTGAAATTTTCTAAGTTATAATGTCACCAAGAGTTCCTGCGTAACTTGAATGAGTGAATGTGAAACTACGTTGATTTCAATTTGAAGCTCTTCATTTTGTGATAGCGATTTAATGCTAATTTTATAATAGGGAAAAAATAGAATGAAATGTTATGTTGCATACATTGTCTTTTATTTTAAAGATGATATGTCCCTTTTGCAGCGAAGATCAAATTATGTAGAACTTTGCGGGAATTATGAATATGTCATGTATGTCCTATCTGTGAAATGTAAACATTAGCAGTGTTCTAGCATTCAAATTATGCAAGGAAACCCGTTTAACTTTTCGACTTCACTGTCAGAAACTATTGAGTGACTGACTGACATCTTTTTTCTTTGGTAATAACATACCTAAAATGAGCTGTAACAACTTGTAATGGCCCAAATTAAACTGATTGAATCTTTGTGCAGCACCAAACGTACAACCATTCGGTAAGGGTCTGAAAATCAGACTATTACTTAGGTGATAGCTATCACTTAAGTCGATTTGACAACTAATGGTCGTTATTTTCCCAATAAAAGCCGTTTTTAAGCCCTTTCGTTTTAACCCTATTTAGCCCGGGCTATTTTGAAACTGCATAGCCCAGGGGGGGGGGGGGGGGGCTTCTAAAGCCCCCCCCCTATGATCTCGGCCGTGGAACGACCGATTGCCGCGAAAATTTGCATACATGTCAAGTGAAGTGTATAGAATACTATGGTAATTTCATTTTTTTTTTAAATGCACTTATTTGCATATTTATGGTAATTTATGCAAATAAGGTCATAAAATTCACATTTTTGCCCAAAAATCAGACATTATTCATATTTAAGCATTCTTTTTCACTACATATATTTATTAGACCATTTGGAATAATAATACAACACAAAAAATTGAATAAACAGGGTTATTCCTTATGTTATCTATTGTTTTGATAATTTCTTATGTATTTCTCTGTTTTTTTAACTTATGTATTTCATTGTTTTTGTTGTTTTATTTCATTTCCAATTATAATTACACTATTTTGACCCCCCCCCCAAAAAAAATACCTAAAATATAAACAAGACCAAATATTTTATCTCTTTATTTTAAAAATGAGATTTCCATATGTTTTGTACACAAATCACAAAAATGAGCGATTTTCGGGCTGACATGCAAAGACAAAAAGACACGTGACTTTGTAATGGTAGGTCCGATTTTCGAAAAATTTCTTTCAAAAGATGCGCAAGAAATTTCAGTGCAAGATTTTCTTGCGTTAAAAAATTATCGCTGAAAATGTCGAGGGGGGGGGGGGGGCTTCTAAAGCCCCCCCCCCCACGGGCTAAATAGGGTTAATGGAAATTCTAAATTAGTGTTGTCTTCCATTTTTTCGCCTGCAAATGGGACATAGTACCTTAATCACCAGATATTTGTATTTATTTCTAACTATCATAGTAAATCGTTTATATACGATCGAATTATTGCTTTGAAAGTAGGAATATCTGAAATTCATTTATAGTAAGATACATCACTCCTATATAGTGTGCATGGTAATGGCATGTAATAGTAGTTGCAATGCGTAAGGTAATATGTACCATAAGAATCCTGTTTGCTTTTAAATGATTTAGTAGAATCAGTTTGTGCATTATATTTTTCTGAAATTCGTACTTTACTTTCATCTCTCTTGTAAGTTCACACAAATGTTGAACTCTTCGTAATTACACGGTATGGAAGCACCGCACTATTAATACATGGTAAGGTAGTAGTCCATTTGGTCTCAGGTTAGAAACAAAAATATACCCCTTTGTGCATATTACATTTCTTGATACTAATCTTGAAATATGTTATATTTCGTAAGGGGTGAGCGACCCACAACCAGCACCTATCGTTCCAATCAAACGATCGCTCAGAGATGAATGAATTTAAACAATTTAATAATATTGGAACTTTAAAGATATATAAAATTACTATAAGCTTAATAGTATATTTGTAAAGCGCTTTAGAAAATTTGTATTAAGCGCTATATAAAAGCTAAATATTATTATTATTATCATTATTATTATTGATAATATTTGCCTCTTTGCGAGAGACGACTCTGTTAATTTCTGCTTTAATTATGATTTTTACATGTACATTTTCCAGTGTCTACCGTCTGGTTTTATTTTTTATTTTGCGTAAACTGTTTTATTTCTCTACTCGTATGCAGTTTTCAATCCTTCCAGGTCAATTTTAGTATTCATTTCGTGTATTACTGAGTTTCAGAGTTTCTGTAAAATTGTATATTTTGATTTTTTTTCCAGTCCGTATTCAAATACGTAAATTGCTTGCATTTGTCAGTTTTAAGACATTTGAAAGAAAATGTCGTTTATACTGAGAATCGGCTTGATAAGAATTGGAAATCAAGTATTTGGAACTGAATTATTGTTATATTTTTGTTTTTAGAAATGTTGAGAGAATGATAATATCTACTTCAATAAAAATTTTACTAATAAAATTAGAGACAAAAATGACAGCTATTTCGTCGCATTAAAAATTAAAAGGGTTTAGCGTGACACGTGAGTGTGTGGGTGAGTGTCTGTTGTAAGTGTGTGTGTGTGTATATATATATATATATATGTGAGAGATGAATTATGTACCTATTGCATATGGAATTATACACTAAAAGTTAGAAACTATGTCATGATGACATTACCACTGCAGAGCATTACGGGCTAGATCCTAACCAAAATCACAGTTTTCACTTAAAGAAAAAACACGACATAATTTAGAATACAGGAATATAATGTGCGACAAAATATCAGTGCAGTATCACATTGACGGTATTGACGGTAAAGATCATGACTGACAGGGGCGAGAAAAGGATTTAAAGCGGAAAAGAGAAGGTGAGAAAGGGACAGAGAGAGAAGACAATATACTCGTTATATACAAGGAGAGTGATGTCTCAATTGACATGCCTTTCACTCATGTAAAATTGGCAACGAATGCAAATTACACATTTTACGGCTTTTTTTCGTCGTTGGTGTGGTTCTACAGTCATCAGATTCTTACTAGCTCATACATTCGCTGAGGGCGTGCTTGGTCTGGTTTCACCTTAATTAGGGAGATAGGGGATGGATGAAGAGAGAGAGAGAGAGATAGATTTTTAGTCCAGACAGTGTAAAAAACAAAAAAACGTATACTAATATTCAATCTCTATCTCTCAAAAGTGTAGTGAAATCGCTAAAATATATAATAGCAGTATTACATTTGATAATATATTCTTTGATAATTTAATAGGCTGCTCATCAAAAAGTGATTATGGATGACTGAGCACTAACAACCCATAATAAATGTAAAACTAACATGATCGTAACTACATTAGAAACCTAAACTCAAGAGCAATTTCAACCCCCCATAATTGTTTATACCATAGGAATCATGACTTTCGGCTTACATAAAACGTTATTGTAATGATCGCATGTTTCAAACGATGATAGAGGGAGCTATTGAACTTCCCTAAAGTTAATATTTCAAAAGTAGTTGCAATCATGTTTAATCGCCTTTACCTAAAGCGTTTGTCACAAATGCCATTACGGACGGCTACGAACGCCGTACGAACGATTTTCAGACCAAAGAAATTCGGGAAGACAATGGAAAAACAGGGAGATTCGTACGAAATTATCGTTCGTACGAACCTTTGTGACCATAGCATTTGTTGGAATGAACGATGTTCAGGAGTTGATTAATAAGATGTATGTGCGAGTTCTTTCTATTCATATATAACCCATTCAACCAAAGTTTTGATTAACTTTTAATTCTTTTCCTTCAAAACTTAGGCAGAGGCAAAATCGACATGAATCAGGAAAAACAATACTGTTTAGCTGTCTATGCCAAGATTCAATTAATTAAGTTGTCAAATCGATCGTTAGCTATTTCGCTAACCTCTTTCTTGTTTAGTCCTCTAATCCAAAGGACGATGAAGCGCAGAAGGAGAGCCAGCATGAGAAATGCGAAGTACAAAATCAAGGGCATCGAAATTCCAACAGTTACGGTTTCTGCCTCGTCCAGATCCGCTAAAACACGTAACAGACCTGTAGGTTCATATACAGAAGATCGATAATGTATATGACTCAACTGCGATGCAGCAGTAGCCATCATAACAGATATCATCTTAATCTTAATAGCTTCAGATTTGAATAAAATATGGTTAACTTCAAAAAGAGATGATAATTTGACTTTCAGCTATAAAGTTTTATAATTCGCAACATATCGTTCAGATATACTTCATATGTACAAAATGTTCAAAGTGTACAAAGTGTATTAGTTAAAGAGCAATTGAATGTAAATATGTATATAACAATTTTGGTATCCCGTGCGTTAAGATATATCACATTATTAAATGAACGTTTAATTTTTTTTTTATATAACTTGAAAATTCCATTTACATATTTCTTGTAAATGATCAAGAGTGATTCTTGAATGATCAGTTATTTCATGGAGATACCAATTAATTTGTATTTTACCTGCTTATATGCTGGTGTGTTTATCTATTTTGTTTTTGATGCTGTTTTTTGTTTTATCATTACCAAACAGGGAGGGCCTCGTGGAAGACCTCCACATTGGTGATATTTGCCACCCGGTATAAATATCAGAAATAAATAAATAAAAAAATAAATACAGATATTTGTCGGTACGTAGGTATTAAATTACAGGATAAGCCACTACAGACATATGATCGACGCATGTGCAGATGAAAAGTCATGTACACAAATCTGTAAAAGCAATAGAAACGAATGCTATAAACGGGTTCTTGAAAGTTAGGCAATCATCACCGAGTGTGCAATCTATGGTACACAAGCGGAAGTATTCTTTTCATGAGGTCAAACAAAAAGTATTCATGAAGAACCTTAAACACTTGGGCAGAGAATATTCTAAAATGCACAAAGTTAGACTTCTCCTTACATGTGTAAAATATCTTTGCATACGTGGGTTTTACTGTACAAGCTACCTCCGAAGTATCTTCGAAGTGGTCTATAGGTTAGTATGGTGGCCCTGAAGGGACATCGCGAATAGACTAAATCGTGAAAAATATGCGATAAAATTCACGATATCGTCAATTTTATCGCATATTTTTCACGAAGAAATTCACGAAATTGA